ATATTTTTAATCAAATATATGAATATCAAAAACTTTTTATTTTTTTTCTCACCTTTTGTATTATTTTTCTTGTATTTGTTTTTAAACATCAAAGTTTCACTTTGACATTTATAAAATTCAGATAAAAAGAATATTTTTTTCTGATAAAATTTAATAAAATAAATTTAATTGACTTTTTATTGAAGGATTCTATCTTGAAATAAGTAACAAAATTAGTAAACATAAATGTAAAGAATTTTTTGCAATCTCCTCTAATAAAATTTTAAATTAAAAGATTTATGAAAACTTTTCTTCTAAATATGAGATCTTAAGAATACAAGTAAATTTTCTTTTTAAATTGATTCAAAATCATGTTTCATTTATTTATAAATAGAAGAATAATCGAACGAAAAACAGAAAAAAAACGTATTGAACTTAAGAATAATATAAAGAAAAGAAATACAAATCTAGTGAGATTTAAAAATAACATGTCAGTCAATAAAAAATAATAAGATCAGTCCGATTAAATGTTACAGATTAGTTTTTCTATAATTTTTTCAGTGTTGATTGAGATTTTTTCTGAAAATAATCAAAGTCAAATATTAATAATAAGATAAAAATGAACTATTTGCAATAGGTTCAGGAAAATAAATTATGATAAAGATGATTTAAATAGAAAGTCTCAAACGAAGATGAATGAAACATTTTCAACGTTGAAATTAATCGATAAATTTAATTCAAATTCAAATTCCTTTTTTTTAATGAGACTTTTAAGGTTAGCTATTCTAAATTGAGATATGTAGGATTATTTTTATTAAAATATCTTTCTCTTAATTTACTTTTCAATGGTTCTATCAATAGTTTTACTTTTTAATTCACTTTGTACAAATAATGTTGATTTGTATTTTGTAGATATCTCATCAATTGTATTCTAATCAGTATTTATTAACACTTATTTTGTTTTTCATAGTTCTGCTCATAAAAATAATTTTTCCTCGTGATCTCACTGTCGTTCTATTGTTTGTGTTTTGGCACTTTCTAATGTTTTATTTTTATATAAATTCGTTGATATTATAATATTATTTAATGAGAAACCTAGATTTTGAATATTAATTTATTATACGAATAAAACTAAAAAAATAATTCAAAAATTAAATTAAATTGTTGAATAAATTTTTCGTTGAATATTAAACAATATTAACAAATTCTATCAGCGACATTTGTTGTTCGCTTTTCATATTTTTCATACCGTCTCTATAAATTATTCCCGATAATTTTTGATTATGAATTTGTTTTTGTCTTTGTTTTCTTTTTAATGATGAATTAATATCAATTAATAATTTTTCTTGTATATCATTAATTATATTTGATTTTTGATTAACAAGTGGAAAATTTTCAATTGCTGCTGAAGCAACAACAATCATATTAACGAAATCAGTTGATCGAAATGTAATTAAATTATTTTGTCCAAAAACTGAATCTATTGTTAGACGAACATTTATATACGATTGATAAATACAAACAAGATTCACAATGAATAATCCACCATTAAGATTTAAAAGATTTTTTAGTTCAAGAAAAAATTCTTGTGTTTTCATATGAGAAGGTAAACCACTCATTGAATCATATGCATCGAGTAAAATAATATCATAATTAATTGAATTTAATGAACTTTTTAAAAAATTTCGTCCATCATTAATAATAACTTTCATGTTTGAATCTTCTTTAAAATAAAAATATTTTTTTGCCATTTCATCAACAAGAGGATCGATTTCAATAATTGTTATGGAACATGTTGGATAAAGTTTTCTGATAGCTCGTGGAAGTGTTCCTCCACCAAGTCCAATTATTAAAATATTTTTATTATCTAATAAAAATGGGTAATATGTTAATGAAATAATCATCAATTGAATATATTCAACAAAAGGATAATCGACTCGATTTAAATCAAGTTGAGCTTGTGCACCATTTGACAAATTATTAAAACGCATTATTCGTTTTGTTCCACATTGAGATATTATTATTGAATAATTATATTTTGATCCTTGTTTAACAAGAATATTTTCACGATGAAATGAAAATAATAAACGAATTATTAAAGAAAAAACAACATGTAAAATACGCACAATTTTTATTGATAAATGAACTATGATATGCATCAATGATTTTTTTCTGTTACTTTCATGATCGACAACGACACAAAATGAATCAATATAATTTTCATATATACAAACAAAAATAAAAAATCTCTTTGATCCATAGAAAAAACAAGGTTCATCGTTGTTGAAATCTATCACATCATCCTGACTTCAGAATCAACCAATGACTGCATTAAAAACTTATATTTTAGAAAAATCTTGGATTTTGTTCTATATTTCGATGGATTCTTCTATTTTAAGTAATAAATATTCAAATACAGTAAGACAACGCTAGCAAAATTTTTAAATATCTTTTTAAAGCTTGTCTTGTTCCTCTAACGAGTACATATATATGTGAATATATGAGTTAGAAAAATCAATCGAATTCTTTTGCCTGAACTTTAATCTGCAGGTCAGACCAGATCACCCAATTCAAGAAATATAACTAGTCTTTCTGTTGCTTTACTTTAAAAATTAAAATTAAAAAAGAGTTCTTTCATGTCTTATAATATTACATTTTGTTTCAAACAAAAAACTTAAAAATATACAATGATGACAGAATTAGATAAGTTCAACTTTTCAAATGTGCTATTTTTTGATCTAAACTGTTGAAAATGTGATTTTCAAAATTAATTTTTTTTAGATTAAAAGAAAACGAATTATCAAATATAAAAATTAAATAATTTAAAAGTAAAATATAATAAAATCGAATATAAAAATGATTTAACCATTATTAGTTTCATTTAGATAAATATAAAAATTTTCCGTTTAATTTTATCTTTTTCTTTTGACTCTGAATATGTTTTCTATTAATTAATGAATTCTTTTAGGAAAGTTTGTCATCGATTAACTTTTTAAATATCAATATGATTATCTTTAGTAAGAAGATAATACCATATCACTTAGAGAATCAAATCAACATTGAATCAATTCAGTTTTTCAATATATCAAAAATCAAAAGAGCGAACGTGATTATAGTCAGAGAACGTATTTTTGAAGACCATTATCCATAACGAAGAAAATGGCATAGTAAACGGTTTTAGAATGATAAGAGATTATTTTACGTCATCATGCTTCTTGAGGCCACCCCCCCTCGCTCCCTGTGACGGCAGCAACGTCACTGATCTTATTATGTACGTTTATTTCTCTTCAGGTGTCCACAGGGCCAATTTTTATTGCCCTGCCCTGCTAGTTAAGAAGAATTTTTTTCATGTTTAAATTCAAGTTTAAGTAATCTTTTTTAATTGAAAAATAATTCGACGAATACATAAATGGTCAACAAATAATAAACTAGCCCCATAGGCGGCGGAACATTCCTAATTTAGGGGAGGCTCAAATTTTGTTTTTGAAAACAACGACAGAAAGTCGACATTAGAGGGAGAAAGCACAGTTTTAAATTTCTTGGTTATAACGTTCACTCAAAAAATTTTCTTCACTGACCCATTTTGCACATCTTCAGAACAATCGACAATTCTACTACACTATCAAAATTTTTATTTCATTATCAACATAAGCATACAAAATCTTAAACCTTGACTAAAGCAAATAAAAACGTTGCAAGTACAAAAACTATTATTCATGCCAAAAAAAAGGCTTTTCTACTCTGATTTTTTTGCAATAAAATCAGAACAAATGCTGTTCAAGTTTAACTGATCTATTTTTTCTTTCTGAATAAGAGAAATAAGGATTTGATTAAAGCGTTGTTGTGTCATTGTTGATCGTAGTCCCTTTCATCGTCATTAGCATTAATAAGTGAAAATATTTCAAAAACATGCAATATACATATCCTCAGGCTGAACATTACTTTGGAGAAAAAATAGCATCGCTTTTCTAACCGCTTTCACTTATCAAATATAGAATTACGATGAAATCAGTATTTGTTTTCAAATAACTGAGTCCCATCAAGCCTCCCCATTTGTTTTTGTGTACTCAAAAAAAAAGAGTACACTATAGAATCGGTCAGTGTGTCCGGCCGTCCGTTTATTCGATAACTCTTCACAATTACATTCGATTGAGCTGAAATTTTGCGCACAGAATTGTCTTATNGTTTGTATTTATCAATCTTATATAAATGTTCGTCTAACAATAGATTCAGTTTTTGGACAAAATAATATAATTACATTTCGATCAACTGATTTCGTTAATATGATTGTTGTTGCTTCAGCAGCAATTGAAAATTTTCCACTTGTTAATCAAAAATCAAATATTATTAATGATATACAAGAAAAATTATTAATTGATATTAATTCATCATTAAAAAGAAAACAAAAACAAATTCATAATCAAAATTTATCGGGAAGAATTTATAGAGACGATATGAAAAATCTAGAAAACGAACAACAAATGTCATTGATAGAATTTGTTAATATTGTTTAATATTCAACGAAAAATTTATTAATCAATTTTCTTTTATTTTTGAATTCATTGTTCAGATTTATTCGTTTAATAAATAATTCTTCATATTTATTATTCAAATTAATATTCAAAATTTAGATTTCTCATTAAATAAAATTACAGTATCAACGAATTTATAATTATAGAAATAAAACATTTAAGAAAACATTAGAAAATGACACAAAAAAAAACAATAGAATGACGGTAAGATCACGAGAAAAAATTATTTTCAAGAGCAGAACTATGGAAAACAAAAAAGTGTTTCACTAAAAATAAAAATAAAATAAAATGTTAATAAATACTGATTAGAATTTAATTGATGAGATATCTACAAACTACAAATCAATATTATTTGTATAAATGAATTAAAAAGTAATTATTGATCAAATTTGGTTTTTTTGAATTCCAATCGACTAAAATTTGAAACTGTTTTCTCTTTGTTTTGACGAACATAATTGAAACTGAAAGCAAAACTATTGAGAGTACCGTTGAAAAATAAATAAACAGAAAGATGTTTTAACAAAAATAATCCTACATATCTCAATTTTGAATAAATAATCTTAAAAGTCTCATGTTTAAAAAAAAAGAATCTGAAACAAATTTATCGATTTATATATTTTGCTTGAATAAAAAGATATTCTCTTCAAAATCGAAATTGTTTCATTCATCTTCGTTTGAGACTTCCTGTTAAGATCTAATATTGAGAAGAAAAGTTTTGAGAAATCTTTTAATTTGAATTTTTATTAAAAATTGAAAAATGCTTAACATTTAGTTATAAAATTTTATTAGAGAAAATTTTTTTTTATCCGAATTTTATAAATGTCAAAGTGAAACTTTGATGTTTAAAAACAAATACAAGAAAAATAATACAAAAGGTGAGAAAAAAAATAAAAAGTTTTTGATATTCATATATTTGATTAAAAATATATCCATCGAATGAATGCCATGATCGACCAACATGATGAATAACATATTTCTTTACTTCATCATCTGATAATATCCATAAAGACCTCTTGTTACATTCTGATGCTTCAATATATTCTCTAAGAAAACGAGTTAAAAATATTGATCCAGTTGAAAATACTTGCAAATAGGGAATAATATAAATTCTTCTATAGAATTTCAATGGAACAACTTCATGAAGAATATCATCAATTATTGGAGATGATTTTTGAGCAGCTAAAAAATGATTTATCAATGATGAACCCATTGCTGCACGTGGAATTATAAATGAGACATTTGATAAACGAAGCTTTTCAACTTGTCTTGAACATGGAAATACATCTAAATCGGCATAAATACCACCTTCACTATGAAGTACAATTAATCGACCTAAATCAGCACGTTGAATTGAATATGGATATGATTTATATGTATAATATAAATATCTATATGTTGTATCTGAAATTAATTCATTAAGATCTTCATCTGTCCATAAACGAATTGTATAATCGGGATAAAGTCTTTTCCATTCGGAATGAGAATTATTAATTGGATATGTTGACAATTTATTAGTTTTCCACATTTGGTGAATAATACGAGGAATTGAACTATTTGTTTGATTTAAATCAATATTACACAAATTAAAATTAATACTTGTCAGATTTTCTTTCAATGTTACTATAATTAATACTATTTGCCATAATAAAAGCACTGCTACAATTGATAAAGTCAGCCAGAACTTATGTTGCCGACTTTTCATCAATAACGACAAATAATCTTAATAAATTAAATCAATTTTATTTTTTCACAACATATAATTAGACGAAGAAAACAAAAGCTTTATTTATAATTTATAACGACACTATAAGAAAATCAGAGTTATTTTTTTATTATTCTCATATTTTTGAAGATCTTTTAATTAAAATTTTATTTGTTGATGATAGAAAATGTGTCTTCTTTCGAAATCATCAAGATAGTCACAATTGGCTATTCAGACCGCAGAATTTACAAAATCGTTGAAACGAATTTCACAGTAGAAATCAGTGTGAAGAATATGAAATTGTGCGAAGATTCAATGAGTAACCAATCTACTTCTCTCGGCTCTTCTCTCCATTCTGACTACAAGCACGAAGCTTTGAAAAAAGGAAATTATCTTCAATAGCAGCTAACGTAGTTTAAAAAAAAAGAATAATAATAAGTGTTTGATGAAAATAGAAAAAAGTCTATTTTTATGATTTTATTATAAAAAATAATCTAATCTTAAAATATTTGTTTCCTTTTTAAAATAAACACTAAACGTTTTATATATACATATATATATATTGTTTTAAATTATTTCTATTTGTTGACAAATTTATAAACATAAAATGATGAAAATGACTATATTTATATTTCTATATAAATATCGTAAATATTTAGACTTGCCTCTAAAACGATCAGTTGCGTTGCCAACTTGGAGATTCATTTAACTATGAAAGTGTACATATAATCCATTCTGCTTCATTCTCTGCTTCTTTTTTATATTTTTCTGTCCATTCTGCTGACATAGGAGTATAGAGCCCTCAGAAGCAAACTTTTTTATTCTTCATCCGATTTTAGCCAAAATGTCAGAGAATGTTAGCCTTAGCTAGAATAGATTACAGTTAAAATATCTCCACAAATCTACAAGACATTCAAGAGTTANGACCATTTTTAATTAATAAAATATTTCTGTACAAAAAAAACAATATACAAAAGACTTGTAGATAAAAGATAAAATACACATATTCATCTGACTAGCTTAAATAAACATTTTTCTGAATTAACCTTTAGTATTGTGTATATAAAAAAAACAAATAAAGTACAATTTACTATTGTTTTTCTTCTTCTTGCTAGCCATTGGCTAACAAATAAACAAAGTACTTTTTTATTTTACAGAGTACCATCAGGGTATTTTGTTTTTCCGAGCAAAGTGCAAAACACGGTACTTTTTCAAAATCGTAAGTACCACGGGTAATTTGCTTTTACTTGTGGTACTTAATATTAAAACCACTGATTATCACTATTATGATTCCTTTATTATTTTCTTTTGTTTTCTTACAAATTTGATTGGACCTCACAAGGTCATCATATAAGCACAAATATAACATCGATTCGCCATTTAATAGCGCCATCTGAATTTTTTAGTTTTCACGTTTCCGAAAAAAATAATATTTCTGTTATTTTCGAACTAAAGTAGGTATATGCAGAATTTTCAGGGCAAGAAGATATAGCCCTGCCCTGCCCTGTACAGGGCAAAATATTTTTTTCAAGTTTTGCCCTGTGCCCTGCCCTGTGAACACCTCTGTTTCTCCTGTGTTGTTCTCTCTTGTTACTTATTGTCGCGCTTGTTATTTTCCCTAATAGCATCTTTTTCTGTTTTTCGCGCTTAGACTCAGAAAAATGAGTTTTATTAATTTAATCATTCTTTTTCTTCTCATCAAGCTTCTTCAAGTTTCTTGATATATATCTCTCTTCGCTGAGATATACTAATTATTCTTTTTCTTCTCTATCAAAAAGAATCATCTTTTTGATCAATTACATATTAACTTTTTCTTTTCAACCTGATTGTTCTTTACAATCAATCTACTCGATTGTCCCTTACAATCGTTCAAACTCGTGTCAGGTAATTGCTTGTGGAGTTCTTCTTATTCTCGACTATTTCTGTTCATTCAATAAACAATTGGATCTTCATCCAATATTCAATATTATTTTATTTTCATTGCCGTCATTTTGCCATAACCAATACTGTGGCACCTGGCATTTTTATTAGTTGCGCCTCTGATCTGCATCAAGGCGCTACATTCTCCCCTCAAAAAAAGTCGATTTTCGTCAAAAAAATGAAAATTGAGATAACACCATGGGGTGATAGCCCATGTTCTGCTCTTTCAGAATCACTATAGTCTTTTTTCCAAAGACCATTTTTTGACCCAAATTTTTAGTGATCTTTGAGAGGTCCTCTATGTCAAAAACGGCAGTATAATTAGGTCTTTGATTTCTAATTACTGATTAATTAATTAAGCGCTCAGCGTGTGCAGAATTAAAAGCTACGTAGGACACGTTAGGCAGTTTCCTCGAAAACCGCGTGAAAATTGCAGAAAATTCAATAAAACAGCAAAAAAATTTCGAAAAAATGTTTTTGTTTTTCTCAAAATCATGTTTTTCCATTTTCCATCCTAGTTATTTTGCCTTTAACTATGTTTTTTCGAAAATTTTTTTACCATTCGATAGAGCATGCAAAGACGCAGGGCATCTCGTGCTGCAATTTTTGAAAAAGCTATTTTTCATGCCCAAAAAGGATCGCCTACAAAACTCACTTGCAGTTTTTTGGCCTTTTTTCAAGGACTTTGGATTGCGGAAACGTTTTTGGCTTACAGAATGGACTTTTTTAAAAATCAAAGCATGAGTTGCCCTACATCTTTGCATGCTCTATCGAATGGTAAAAAAAATTTTCGAAAAAACATAGTTGAAGCCAAAATAACTAGGGTAGAAAATGGGTCATTTTTAACCAGTGTTCACTTTATAATTTCCTTAAACTTGCATATTTCTGGCTGACTTTTTTATCGTAGGCTACCCGCTCCAGTTCTAACATATCCTGAAGATTTCAGCCGATTTGGATTTTCTTTGGCGAAAATCGACTTTTGAGGGGGGTGGTGGTCTTAGGCTTCAAAAATAGTAGAAATATTAGAATAGCCAATGATAATTGACTAGCAGGTAAATAATTCATAAAATCAACCAACTTCTCGTAGCAAAACACGGTAAAATATTGCTGAATATTTATGCCATTTCAGATTGTTTAAGAAATCTGTTTCGAATTTCGAAATGATCGCCGTAAATAAAGATAATATCGACCGATAAAAAGGTCTCGTCGGTTGTGAAAAACCGTAAAAAGCAATTGATGAAGAAAAATCTATTGTCTTAATCATTTTGTTAAACTCAAGATTGTTTTGAAGGAGTTCGTTTGTTAATGAAGCTATTATTTTTTAAGTATGTATATCTTTTTATCTCTTCTCTTATTAGTTACGCTATATGGTTAGTTGAGGATACATGCAAAATAATAATGCACTATGTTTATCATAAGCTGACATGAAATGCATCATTGAACTGATGTTTTCTAATCGGAAATAGAAAGAATGGTGAACTCTAATGAATGAAAATAATTATCTTACAGTTATTTCTAGTTGAGTTATACTTAAATATTTGTATTTACGTATGTTTTTTTTCTAAATAAAATTATAGAAATATCTTTTGTTAACATGACAAATAAATAAATCAATCAATCAATGATTATTGAAATTTGTAACTGTGTTCAAACAAATTTATTTGAATCAATGTGAAATTTTCTTGAATGGATGATAAAAACATTATTTCCAGAAAATAATTTTCATTTGCAATGAAATCAAAATGACAATTAGTACTCAATCCACATGTATGGAAAATTAGGAGTTCCGTTTCTTGTTTTTTCTTCTTTTATTTTTATGATTATGTTTTTTTACTTAAAATAGAAGTTAAAATGAATGAATTCACGTTTGAGTATTTTCGTATTTAATTTAGAAAGAATTTCCTCCTGACGCAAAATATGAATTTTATTTCTGATAATAAGCATAGTTTTTGTCGTTTCATACATCTTAATAGATTAATTTCATGTAAATTAATACAAATAATGAAAAGTATTTGCTCATTTTATTTCTTGTTAATTTTGTTGATATAGATGTCGAAAATAATTTTATATTTATCAATATAATATAAATTCTTTTATTTAATTTATAATAGAATAATATCACGGTATGATTCTACTATAGAACGGAACTAATTGATAGGTGGTATTCGCATTCTCCTACTAATATTCAATAAGAGATCTTCTATTATTTCTTGTTGCTATGCTCAATAGATTTATATCGAACAGTGAGTATTAACTTGTTTTCATAATGATCCTTTTTTTTCTTTTGAAAAAGAAAAGTGAATAGAAACAAGATTTACACTAATTATCATGCCTTTAACTTTGTTGTGTTTTATCACGGAGTTACGTTGCTCATCATCATATCGTGTGTGTCGACATTGAAACGGAAACAGTTTTCCTTTTGCCTGCTCCGCCTATTTGCCATTTGTTACTAGAAGTGGAATGATTTGTTCTTAGTTTTTCTTGTATTGTGTTTGAACACGATTAAAAGAAGAAGACGAACCCAGAGAAGAAGAAGCAGAAAAAGAAAGAGAAAAAGATAAGTCGAGAAATAAATCATATCATAATAATTCCAACATATTTTTGTTTCTCGTTATCTTAAGTAAATGATTATGATTTGTGGAATATCTATCAATATCCTTCTTTTTATCGCATTAATTCTTAATTTTATTGTTGCTAACGGTAATTATTGATCCATAGATTAAATATTATTGCTCTGCTTTGATTAATTTTTATAATGAAAATAACATTTTTAGATTTAATTAAGCTCAATTTTTCAAATAAAAGTTTGATTTTCTGTAGATTTAATATCAAAATAATTTATTTTTCGAATCATAAAATGACATACAAAAGATAAATTTATTAATATGTAAGACGAATTTCTTTCCATATTTTCTATTCCGAATTGTGAAAATATTTTTCATCAAAGAAAAAAAGAAAGAAAATTATTCTACTTAATATTAATATGACTTAAAGAATATCACAGCTTCCATTGAATTTTCATATTCTATATAAAATAAAATAATTTTAATTTTTAAAATTATCGAAATTTATCAACTTTTGGATAAAAATAAAAATCTTTTTAAAAAAGTTTTGTTTTTGTAGGTCACAATAAAATAAATGAAAAATGCGATGACAATACAGTGAATATGCATATGCTTGAATGCTACAAAAATTATATTGATGATACAATTGACTTAACATCACCTGAAAATGCATATTATATGGAAGGATCTTTACTTTGCCAGTTTGTTTTCATTTTCAAGCGAGTTTATAGCCATATAAAAGAAAAGTATTCATATAAATTTTAGAGCTTATAATAAAAGTTCATCATATCGCCAATGTCTATATTCAATATTTGATGTTGATCAAATTTGTTCTCTTGAACATTTTCCATTTTCATACGAGTATTCGAAAATTTATTGGAAATTGGTAATGAGCTCATGTAATGTTCCAAAAGGTAAGTTAAGAGTTCTTTTAAAAAACAAACTTTTCTAATAAATTAACATAGCTGATCATTGTCATCCATCTCGCTTAAGTCAACAAGTTTTAATGAAATGTCATTACTCATTTGATGATAAATATCCAACTAAATGCACGTAAGTTGATTTTATTTTTGTTAATATTTCTCATTAAATAAAGCATTTTATCATTCAGAGAGTTTTTACGTTCTGTTAAATGTATGGAAGAACATGAAATGGAATTAATTCCTTTAACATACGGATCTGAATGTTCAAGAAACAAAGCATTTTATTATTATTATGGAGATCTTGCTGCTCGTCTTCAACTATCAATTAATATTTGCGAACAAGAACCATTATCTCTTAAATAAAAAGTTTTTATTCATAAATAACACATATATATATATTAATAAAATATAAAGCAATATTGATTCAGCGAATATTTTCTCCTATGATTAGTTTTATCAAATCGAAGAAAAGCTGTGTTCTACTATTTTTACTTATTTTTCTTCTTAAAATATTTTCTTTTTCCAGAAGAAAAATCATATAGAAAAAAAAAATAATAATAGAAAATATTGAATAGTTTTAAAATCTAATATTTTGAGGTTGATATCCCACTCTTGACGAATCTTCTATTTCCTCACTATAAATAGATATTAAAAAAGCAAAGCGAATGAAATTTCCATTACTATTTTATTGGTAGAAACATAGAAATAATTCATTCAGTTGATCCAATTAATATGTTAAAATGAAAAAAAAACGATTTTTATCTTTTGATTATCTACCGTTCTAAAGTAATTATTTTGAATATGTTAACTAACTATGCACCAGAAAAGAAATTTATTTTAAAAATGATTATGAATCATTTTAACTAAAATTGAATTTGATTTGATGTTATTTAATTGTTAAATAAAGTTATTTGAAGTATTCTCGTTTGTTCCTAGTATATATAATTATGATACATGTCCTATGGTTTGAGAGTTGCTAATGCTTTTCCTTAGAAAGATTCAATATTTTTAATATGAGCATCTTTGCGTTTTCCGTGTCTTGATATTTGTATACTTCTATTTGTTGTCGAGAGTATAGCAAATTATTTCAAATATAAAGGTACACAATATACGAAACTAGATCACTTCATATGAATAGAAGAATCTTCAATATTATAGTTATACGATGAGTAGCTGTCTAATTCGAGTTCGAATATAAATGGAAAAAAGAAAAAGTTAAACTAAAACTAAATCTAGAAATAGATTTAGTTTTGGTTTAACTTTCCGATATATGCGACATATGAATACATATATACCCCTACAACTATATCCATACTTCAAGATATACAGCCCAGGCACCACCCGGATGCCCTCTCACCCTCACTCTTCCGAGTACCCATCACCCAAAACCACATTTGAAGTACTCGGGTACCCCTTCTACCCACCCCTCACTCGCACCACCATCCACAGTTACCCCTTAGTCTCCCTCAACCCACACCACCCCATCTTAAAGTAAATTTAAAACTGAAACTAAATCTATTTAAATCATTTATTTTCGAATTGATACCATGCAGTTGGGTGCCCATTTATATTCGAATTCGAACTAGGCATCTCTTGGAATAAAAGCTCTTAGTGTCCTTCACGATGATAATTGTTGACAAACAAGGCACAAAAGCCTTTTATGTGTGATTATAATTGATGTTAAGTAACACAAATATCTAGAGAATACTTGATATAAATCTACACAGCAACGAGCCCCTTATCGTTTATTGTCAACTATTCAAATGAGAAACTACTTCATCAAGAATCAAGTTAAAATACGATTGAATACTTAGATAAAACACTAGATTACAGCAGCACAAAACAAAGTTCGAGTCCCCTCAACTGTACTCGAACTTAAATATTTTAAATAAGGCAACTCTATAGCATTTCTCATTCAAGTTTGACTTAGCAAATTATTTCAGTTCTTTATGAAATAATTGATATCATAGATATCTAATATTAGTTATCACATACTTCCTGATGCATTTTGAATGCAATACCATACGGAAAGATAAGAAGATAAGTTTTTGACAGATCTTTATCTTCGTAATTTTGTACCTCTTGATGATGGGCATTGATGCTGAAAAATGGACTTTGATTCTGAATCATACAGTAGAGAATGAAGATAAACAAGATTCCAGAAGAGCCTTCACATGGCCATCAACTGTTAATATTTTCGATTTTTCATAATAAATTTATGATTTTCACTTAAAAGCATGTACAAGGCTTTGTTCATAATTAAATTCTCTATCGAATGACAGGTCAAGACATGTGTCTAATCGGGTAGCATGAATTTCGCCGTACTGACTTTCGGTAATTGCTAAAAGTTGTGTTTTTGTAAGATCTTCGGCTTTAAACGAGAGGGATCTTTGGCAATAGCCAATAGCTCAGTTTGAGGAATTATCGGAAATCTTAATCACCTAATTAATTATAGTAAAGAAACCTCACTTTGGACATTGTGTGCTTTCAAGTTGATGGAAGTCCTTGAACAATATTAGTAGACCTTCTGAATGATGATATCGCGTAATAATACATACAGTTTGAATTGATGATAAAAGAGGTAAGTAACAGAATGTATCGATATGCTAAATACAGTTTTATAAGAATTGGGAATCATCTATCGCCCAAAGTTCACGAAATAAAGTAATTGCCTAAAGTAGAGTTTCTTTACTATGATCAATTAGTTGCCTAATAGTTTTTAATAAGACGTCTGATAATTGCCAAAACTGTACTATTGGCTATTGCCAAAGATCCCTCCTATTTACAGCCGAAAATCCTACAAAAACACAACCTTTGGCAATTGCCGAAAGTCAAGTGCGATTCCCTTCTAATCGCTTTAAATGAATGGTCTTTTCATCCTTATCAGTCCCAAAAGCGTCTGCCTATATCACTAAGCACCAAAGTAAGGCAAATGATTTATCGATCAGGCTGAAACTTATAAGAGCTACTACTAAGTGTGGGGTCTATAGATACTGAAATTTTCATGTGAAATTACCTTGACTTACTATTTAAACTAAACTGGATTGAGAAGGTTTTCCTCCCTTTGCATAGTTATCGAATGTGTGATAAAATGAATCCACAACATAGTTACAAATATTTCTGCATTCGCGTTGGTTCATTAATAAATTTTTACACAAGCAAACATCACACTGGTTATTGATAACAAGTAAAAGTCTGTCGAATGATCGATTAGTACGTATTGGGAGAGAAAAAAAATGAAAGATTTTCGGTTAGAAATAGTATTTTGTTGCTCTATTCAGTATTGTGAAATATTTTTGATGCTCATTCTTACTAGAAACTGAGCTTTTTTTACATCATTGGTGTGTTTGAAGCCAACCGTCGTGTTTATTATTGAAAATAAAGTTTGTGATTGTGAATCACTTTCATATGATTCAGCTAAGTTTCAGCATCAAAAGGTGCTGAGCAGATACTGAGATGCTGGGGATTACAAGTCTGCGTTTATCTCCGTGAGATATGCACATGTAAAACACTTAGAATTAAATCATGTATGAATTTATGCTGTTTCTTGTTTGTGTTTTAGAAAAAAGTTTTATTTCACTATATTTCATAACTGAAAAATATTCTTTTATTTAGTACATCCAATACATTAACCAAGAATTTGTCTATAATCACCAAGATTTTTTTGTGATATTTTACAGAATTCTAAAGACTTTCTTAGTGAAAACTAGTGTCCTGTATATTTCCTATCAGGGATCCCGACTAGGGGAGGGGAGGGCTGTGGGGGGCCAGCCCCCCACAAAATTTAACAAATAAAAAGTTGTTTCTGCGAAAAGTTTTGCTATATTTTGGGTTATTCGAAAAGTCTTGATTACAGTACGTTTGTGTACCGTCAATTACGATGTTTCTTTTCTAGTAAAAATGTTGATTTATGCACTCCGTTGTTAAATGAACATTTTCGTTCTGCAGTTATTCGTTTCTGTTTGTAACTCCGCTGTTTCATTTTCTATTTGTGCCAAAAAATCTGTAATTTCTACCTTTTACTTCTGTCGAAAAATTTAGCCATTCTATTTATTTCTGTCAGAAAGTCCACTCACTCTATTTATTATTTTACTTCTGCGAGAAAGTCTATTCAGTCTATTTGTAATTTCTGGCAGAAAGTCTATTCAGTATAGTTTTTACTTCTGGCAGAAAGCCTAGCCTTGCTATTTGTTATTTCTGCCAGAAACTTCACTCACTCTATTTGTTACTTTATTTCTAGCGGGAAGTCTATTCAGTCTATTTTTCATGTCTGGCAGAAAGTCTAGCCTTTCTATTTGTTACTTCTGCCAGAAATTTCACCGCTGTTGGTGGGCGTTCTGAATCTGTCTATTTGATACGCAGTCCCATGTCGTTGAAGTCGTAGCTATCTGATATATTCACTATAATCACTTAGTTTCCGAATGTTGAATTTTATTAAAGGTGGCGCCATAAAATTAGTTGTTCGCTAATAAATAACCAACAGGAACATTAATCATACTATATTAGTTAGAGAATGCACGATGGGATACTTGTTCAATTTGTTTTTGAACTGCAATGACTATGTATATACTAAACAGATTGAGTTAGAAAAAAAATGATAAACGTAGAGAAACCGCATCGAAGTGGTGATAACCGTTCGCTTTGACGAAAACTGAGTATCATGAGATGATATTTATATGTGACATAATTTCGGATTTTTTTAAATATGATTTCAAAAATAGTTCATACAACTAGTTGTACAGTAAAGTGTCCTATTTGTGGAAAATCAATGCTTCTAAAAAACTGGAAAGATCATTGTCGGCAATTTCATGCCATGTCACAAACAGCGATTGATTGCAAATATTATGAATTGAAAAGAAATATAGAACAGTCAAATTTAAGTACAGTAACATTAGATGCAACAAAATGTAACATTATTTCTTGAATTTGATCAATTGAAACAGAAAGATGATGAGTTTTGAAAAACATTTTTAAATATTACTTTTTATACATATGTTGTTTTTACTTATTTTTAATTAAAATGAACTTAGATCATCTAAGTTAGATGATGATATTATAAATCAAGGATTTGCTTTTTGACGTATACTGTCTGCCAAAAAAAATATAGTTTCTGCCAAAATTTAGCCCCCCTCACTTCCAAAAGTAATCGGGAACCATGATTGCGTTCCAATGCTAGATTTATTTCTCTTTCGAGAAAAAGACTTATTACTTGAGATATTTTCTTAAAAAGATTGAATATAAATTAATGCTCATTTTAAATTTTTTTCCAGCGAAATAACATTCGAATAATTCTTGGTAATTTCAATTCAACTATGGCAATTAGATTATTTTGTGAAGTAAATAAATTCAGGTCTAAAATCAAAAAATTCTCTGAATATTATTTAGGCATACCGCTATCAATTATTCGGCTCACGTTTTCAATGGATTATTGTTGGCTATTACGAACCTGAATGGTGGCTAAATAATCCAGGCCCTTGTAATACATCGGAAGTTCTTACGGCACTCAATGGTACACTTCAAACTCGTGTCGCTAGACTTGGCTATCACGTCAATACGCGAACAATGGCTGATTTAGTTTGTATATATTATTTTGTAAAATTAAATTTTTCATGTGTGTTTTTGTTTTTTTTTCTTCAGACTCCCGATCAATTTCAATTCGATTTATCAATGTTGAAAACATCGGATTATTTTGTTGGCTATGCTTTTGATGCTATTCTGACGTTGACATCTGCCTTCGAACAGCTAAAAGATTGTCCGAATGAATTTAGTAATGATTCCATATGGCGTCAATCGTGTTGGCGTAATGAATTAATTAATATTATTAAAAACACCGATATCGAAGGTGTGACTGGACGTGTATATTTTAATAATGGCGATCGGATTGGTGAAATCGCTATTGAACAAATTTTAGGTAGAATAGAAGAAATTCGATGCATATTTTATTCAACTTTTCGCATAGTTTTTCATAATCACAAATCGACACAAGTTGATACTGTTCAATTGTACGTTGCCTTACCAACGAATCAATCGAAATATATTCTTTTACCAGCAAGAACTCAACGAAATATAACTTGGCATGGTAAAGGCTTTTCTTCTTTTTTTAATTTATTTAATGCAAAAAAATTTAACATAGGCAACGGACCACCGAATGATCGTATAAAACATATTGAACTTGATCAACGAATTTCAATATTAACATATACAATAATGGCTATTCTTAGTGGTATCGGAATATGTTTAGCAATAGGGTTTTTTGTGTTTAATATTATTTTCCGTACGCATCGGTATCAACGATTTTCTTTTTATTCAGTAGAAAATAGTTGCGATTATATTTCTCTTTGTTACCAATAGATTTATTCGAATGTCAAGTCCACAAATAAATAATTTAATAATAGCCGGTTGCATTCTTTCGTATGCAAGTGTTCTCCTAATGGGTATCGATTCGACTCTATTAGGAAAACGAAGTTCAGAATCATCTATGAATTTTATTTGTGCAGTAAGATTTCTTCGTTGGCAGAAGATTTTAATTCATTTCTATTCTCTACAAGGCCCGTGTTTGGATTCTGTCGATTGGTTTTACGATTTCATTTGGAGCTATATTCAGTAAAACATGGCGTGTTCATGCAATATTTACGACAGTCAATGCATCAAAACGAGTAAACGATAGCATAGATTATTCGGAAAGAGAAAAAAATCGCTTTGTTTTTCTCAGGCAATTAAAGATTATCGTTTGTTTATTTTTGTTGGCGTACTATTCGCTATCGATATAGTTCTATTAGCAGCATGGCAAATTGTTGATCCTTTGAAAATCTTTAAAGATATCAGTCAAACACAAGTAGATCATTTTTTTTCTTCGAATTATTATCTATTCTGGAGGTTTTGCATATAATTCTAGACGAAAGATGAAGATGTTGTTATCCTATGGATCTATGAAGAATGTCGATGTAATCGTCGACCGATTTGGATTACAATGCATTCGATTTATAAAGGTGTATTGATGGTAAGTTTGTTTCGCCGATAATAGTTATTGTTGGTTCCAAGAAAACAAACACTATAGATTTCTATCTTGTATTTTTGACAGCCGTCAGTTCCCATGAAAGTTTTTAGCATGAAGATATGCTTTATCGTACATTTATATCGAAAACAAAAGAGCTCGAGACAAAACAGTATTTTTCATCTCATTTACTATGCGTATGATAAACGTCGCCTAATTTACTACTAGACATAGTGCGTCATATCTCTCATCAAGATATTTGTAAACATTACCATACACATAGATTATATCTGTAGTACTATTTAGCAACAACGCAAATACAAGGATAAAGAGTCTGTTTTCATAAGTGAAAAAGAAGAAAATTTTTTCTCTATTCTTTCCATGTTCTTTTTTAAAATCAGGTTGTTGGCTCACGTTTTGCCTGGGCAACACGAAATGTTCATATAACTGCATTAAACGATTCAGCCTATGTTGGTATGAGTCTTTACAATGTTGTCCTATTGAGTATAACAACAGCTGTGGTTGGCTACTTTTTGCGTGATCAGCCCGAACGTTCTTACATTGTTACATCAATATTTATTTTACTATGTGTTACAATAATATTGTGCCTCGTGTTTGTACCTAAAGTTCGTGAAGTAGCAAAAGATCCACGTTCAATGGCGAAACCGCAACGGGCTGTTATTTCAACTGTTAAACGAGTTTCATTACAAGAAAAACTGCATGACAAACAACAAACATTGGTATCGATAAAACATATAGCAAGTCAAAATCAAATGTTAAGATTAAATGCAGTAATGGTTCGCATGTTTGCTTTCAATAAAAAATTGATTTTTCCCTACATATATTTAGTGGTTACAGTACGTTTTTTTTTGTCTACTTTAGTGTGATGTTCTAATTAATAAGCTATTAGCTGCAATCGACGATCCCAATCATGAAGGATATCGATATGAGATATTTATGCGTATGCTAGACACTGAAAAAGCAAACTCGATGATCTTTTTATTCTATTCTAGCTATATCAACAAGTACTACCGATGAATTAACACATCCAGTCATCGATCCGATTGGTTAACCAACGAAGACAATCAACTACGAAAATAAAACTATCTAATTTATTATGTCTATTTTTCTTTTTGTTCGATAAGAGTATTCTAAGTGGAAAAAAAAACGTTTCTGAATCGTAATGAATATAATATTTGTTTCATCTCATGCCGATTCTTTTTTTATAGATCGTTCTGAGTAATTTACAGGTAATGTTCTATCAATCGACCTACGTATTTTCTTTCTTCGTCCATTACCATTGATCACTGGTGTACATTGATATACCGTATTTTTATATTCTACGAATAGCGAAAGAATAAAAAAAAACATATATGTATATGTATATGTTTTTCAGGTTGCGTGAGAGAACGATAGAGAAATGACAAAAGAACGTTGGTACTATCATTATGCGGAAAGAGAAAAAAATAAGGGTGCGGTTACGGCACGCGCTGGCGCCGGCCATCGTCACGAAGTCAAGAATAACAAGAAAATCCGTTATATAAAAAAATATAAGAAAGACGCTTGCAACACTTCTCGTCGTCGACGCTATAGTTTTTTTTTCTTTTACTCTTTCATCGAAGCCCAGCATACTACAACAAATTTGTTGCTTCATTAGCAAAGCAAGATGCATGGTTATTCGATCGTAGTAATAATTCTTATTTCGCTTCTGCCATTGATCAGTGGACAACAAGGTATTAAAATACGAAACGAGAAATTCTAATTAAAAACATTTTAAACTTAGAACTAGATTCGCCACATCGAATATCGAAATCCGCGTTCGATGCACAATTTTATCGCGGACAATGTCCCGATCGATTTTATCAGATCGGTAACGAATGTTTATATTTCGGTACTGATGGCAGAAAATATTCATCGCATCAAATCGAATCCGTATGTGCAATACAAATCGCGCGTCTAGTGAAACGACAGACAACATTTGTGGTTGGTCAAGTAAATATAAAACCGAAAAAAGGTGTCAGACAATTAGTTTTGAATACACCAGAAAAGTGGAAAATTTTAGAAGTCCTCTATCGAGAATATGACGAATTGAATTTTGCTGTTCGACTTCCAGCAGATTACGATAAACTGAGTCGCTGTCATGATGACAAAGATGATAATTGGCCACAATATTGTATTAGTTTACACAGTCCGAATGCAACATGTTTCGAAACTAATGTCGCAGGGTCAAATGATGTTTGTTTGGGCCGCATCAATTGTGATACACGTCATTCGAGATTAGCCTGTGAATTTACAATCCCAGGTTTTTTCATCGAAACAAAACTCATAAGTAGTGTGCGACTGTTTTTCTCCTCTAGGAAGTGCTGAATTGACGGCTTCAACATTTCGACATTGCCCAACCGATGAGCCACTTCATCATAGTTTATCAGTATGGGCTTGGCTTTTAGTAGTCGTAGGTGGTTTGTTGCTGCTTCTTCTTATTCTCGGTGGTGTCTTAACTTTAATTCGTAGTTCAAAAAAAGTGCCTACTCAAGCCAGAAAATCCGTACCTATAACTCATCAAGAAGGTAATCATCATCATCAAATGTTGACGATTCCAATAAGACTCTTCTATTTTAGTTGTGAATATCAGACGAAGTCGTTCAGGTACAGCAAATGAACCGGTATAGTCGTTTTCTTTTATCGATCCTCATGTTATCTTACTTTTTGTTTTTGCTATATAGATGTTTGTTCGGGCTGCTTCAGCCAGTGTATCTGATCCGGATTATCTAGAACCCATACCATTGAAAACCGCACGACAAGATAGTATTTCTCCACGTGTTTAATGAACATTTTTTTCAAAAACTCTTTATGATTTATTTTTGTGTACGATGTTCTGCCGTCCTATGAACGTCGATTTATTTTTCTTGTCTTTTATATATATATATAAATGTATTTTCTCATTATAAAAAAGAAACACAAACAAAAACAACGATCTGTTATGAATGTCTGTATGTGTGTGTAAATGAAAGAAGATTGATAATTAATCTACGTCAGTAATTGTTGATAGAGGTACTGAAGGTGCTTTCTTCGAACTTTGTTGAGCAACTGTTGTTGGTGATGTCGCCTGTTCATTTGATGCTGTTTTCTTCAATGAACGTTCAAGTAAATAGGCATCCGATGGTTCTAAACGGCGGTAGTATTCAACAGCTGTTGAAATAATTTGAAAACCAAATTTTTTATAAAATGATAAAGCAGTTTCATTGTTAATTTGGACATGCCTATAATAAGTAATATATATATAAACGAAAAATAACATAGATTAATTATACATACAAATAGATACTGTCAATATTTCCTTCACGTTCACAAACTTTAAATACATGCTCGAGCATTAATGTGCCTAAGCCGAGTTCACGATATTTAGCAAGAACACCTAATGTCATAATATATAATCGTCGGCGATTTTCCGATAAATCAATACGGCAACAGACGGCACCAACGACAATATCATTACAATAAGCTAAAAGAAAAAATTAATTTTCTCTTTCTTGAAATTCATATAATTAACTCATGTACACCGATTAAACAATTAATAGACAAACATTTTTAATATCGTGTAAATAATTTATTATCACAGAATATAAATAATGTTCTTTTGTCAGACTTTATATTGATTAATTCGATAAATGATTAATCTATAGTCCTGACACAAAAAGTCAATTTATATCAACATAATATGTTCGTATGAATTCTATTATTCTCTTCCTGCAGTCGTTACACGAGATGTAAATTCAAAGTTCGTTGAGTTCTTTTTGAATTTTACACTTCGTTTCTTTGATAATAAAAGAAAACTCGCGCAACGATAGCGCGATCAAGACTAATTTAGCACGATCGTCATATATCATAACAATCTGCCAATTGTTACTTTAGTTTTGATCTTTCGCGATGATAATTATTTATAAACTGGCATATAACTGCAAATAATGCGTAAACGTTAACGATCAGACGTTTCATCAAGAAGATCAATACGGAGTCTGTATAGCGTCGAAGACACTGCTCAATACAGAGATCGTACTTCATATGACACGAAGAAATATCATCGTAACATAACGCGATTTACAGCTGTTTGTGTTAACGCGGACGTCAACCGACTAAAGTGAATTAGAACTATCTCACATTAATCCCTCGAGAAATTATCAGCAGCCATATCTAGCTTGACTCGAATACAAGGAACATAAATACAGTGCTGGCGAAAATTATAGAACAACAAGAGGAATCATCCGGCTCTTATGGTATCGAATTCCTCTTCGTTGAAAAGTGGTTCAGTCTAGCTTGAACTGGTTACCTAATTTGCATAATTCACCAGCTCCTAATAAATCTTTGTAAAATTTTTCATTATAAGCAACTGGAAATACATCCCGATTGAGTACTTTAAGTTGTTTTAGATTATGTTGTGTTATATCGCCTAATTCAATGGTGACACGTTTGACTCTAAACGTTGGGACGGAGTTTATTTAGATAAATAGAAAATAAAAATAAAATTTACTTTCGTTTTGCTCGATTTTCTTTTGATTCATTATTATTATTACTATTCATGGCAATAGTATTTGTCATATCTAGAAAAAAAAACGAATAAACAAAGTTAACAGTTTTCATGTTTATAAAAGATTCTTTTGAAATATTTTTTTTAATATTTAAAGTCTTAAATTTTCTAATTCTTCTATAAATTCGTTTTCACGTTTGACTTTTTCCATTTGATCAACCTCAAGTTTATCACCGTTGGCTAATCGTTCTTTAAGACCTTTTATTTGTTGTAATTTCTAAATATTCAAAAATGTTAAACTACGAATTCATCATTAAGAATCATACTTTATGTATATTTTTGATCTTTTTATCTTTTTCAAGATCTCCGGTAAATAATTCTTCAACACCTCCAGGTTTCGGCACACGCGGTGCTTGATGAATCACAGGTTTCGCCGGTGCCTCGTCATGTAATTTAGCTGCTTGCCGAGTTGTTTGTCGAAGATGTGGTGGTCTATAAGCACCGGCTGCTTTCGCTATAAAACAAATTTAGATAGAACATGACGTTGTAAAGTTTTTTGTTTTCAATGGAACCATGTCTAGACAATAGACGACCTTCTCAGTGATGATGTATCCAACGAAGCGCTTCTTACTCTCGGTTTATTATATTTTTAGTCGCTCGAAAATGATCTCATTAGTATATTACGTTTTCCTGGTGCAGAACCATCGTCGGATTTGAGTGGTGCTCGTTGACCGCGAGCATAATTTCCCGGTTGCCATAAAACTTGCCACAGTTCTTGATTTTCATTTGTTTTATATTCATAAACAAGTTCACCCGTCATACGCCAAACCTTGAAACTAAAACAACGTTTAGAATGACCAAGATTTTTATATTTCCATGGCTATTATTCTTACCCATTTTTCACTCTTAAACGTGGAGCTGTCGTAGCAGTGACAAAATGAAAATTATCATAACACCATTGAAAATGTGTTGTATCAAGTGCATCAATTTGAGATATACGTTTACGATCTTTCATATTCCTATAGTTTTGATGTTTATTATGAACAGATAATTTAATTTTTTAGTTTACCAAATTTCCATATTCCCAGCAACGTTTCCAAAGCCACACAGAGCCAGATGTATACCATCGAAACTGTAATATGCAATATTTTTTGCTCCGGAACTAAGTTCCCAGGCAATGTCACATTTAGAATTGAATACTGTCGCTTTCGACGGCATAACTTAAAGAAAAAAAATGGTTCTTTATAATGATACAAATTTAGACATACATCCATAAACAACACAAAATTCATCGGCAACAGGTGACCATTCCATGCTGTATACAGGACCTGATTTACCTGCGAAAAAAATTATTGTTGATGGTTTTCTTTTTTGTTCCAGATCATTACTTACTTAATTGAACATTACTACTGTCACCATTGCGATTCAAATGTTGAAGCATTGTATCACCATAGTAACTATTCTCCGACATATCTGTACTACAAAGTACAAGTAAGGCTGATCCTAAATCAATAGAAAAATGAGTTTTTTTAGATCAATAGAAAGCAAGACTTTAATTCAACCTTTGAAATTCCATTTCATATTAACATGATCAAAATTAAAAAAACTTTTGCTTGCAATGGTTGATTTTAAATCAGGATAAGTAAGTAGTCGAACACAATCTGGTATACCCTATATTAAACAATCGCTAAGATTAGCGAATAGGGTTTTTTTTCTGGGTTCATTTACCTTTTTACCTTTGATAAATGCAGCTATGGTATATGGTGGATTACTGTTACCCATACTAAATACTTGTAACCCTTCAATACTCAATCGATTAACATAACGCTCTTGAATTAAACAAAAATTTAGCAATAAAATTCTTTTTTTCTTATTACAATTTACCAAAATTTGGTGTTTCATAAAACCATACTTGATTAGTTTGTATACGACCGAATATAACTTCATCATGTGACCAAATCGGAGCCCTGAAGAATACAAAAAAGGTCTCAAGCCTCTTTTCGTTTTGTTGGTGCGAAATTTGTTCTTACCATTCACTTTGTTTTTTTTGAACATAAGATCCTACTAGTTCGCCATTGCTCGATTTATAAATAGATAAATTTGGTTTTTCATCTTCACCTGCTACAGCTATTTTCAAGAAAATAATTTCTTTTTTTGCGTCAAAATTTTCATCTTACTTTACATACTCGTAAATGGTTCAAACAATAGTAAATATGTATCTTGTGGACTGTATTCTATAGCGCTAATTCTTCGTTTTGATAATTCATACAAAATTTTACGTGTATTGCAACAGTAAACTTGAATACTAAAAATAAAATTTTTATTTATTTTTTCTGTCTTAAGAAACTAACATTTCTTTATTAGAAATAACAAATTGATGGCCAGTACGACTAAAACATGATAAACGACAATTTTCAACATCAAAACTTTCAATTTTGCTAACATCAGCTTTATCAGCTGGACTTGTTACTAATTGAACAGCACCTGGCCCACGAACTAGAACGAACAGAATAGCGGTTGCTTTTCCATTTTAATAAATTCAATAAATCTACCTGCTAATAACGGAACTGAACATGTATTTGATACCGCACAAGCCATACGAAAATCTACCTTCGCTTCAAATTCCAATCAAATAAATAAATATTTTTTCTATTGTTTAGTATTTCATTGAATCAACGACATCTATACTAAATTTTAACCAATCAGAAATATGTGACGATCAATTTTTCAAAAAATAAACACAACGCTTGCTCTCTCTCATACATACATAAATTTGTTACTCATATTTTTTCGCTTCGAACTATGTCGATTACGTTTAAGAAGAAAGTTTCTTCAACAGCAACTACTCGTCTACCGTCTGGTACGCGATTAAATTCAAATGGTACATTGTTACTAACATCAACCGGCATATCATCCCTGGATACATTTATTGGTGAAGGTTTACCGATTGGTTCACTTACAGTTATATATGAAGATAAATATTCGAATATATCAGATTCAATTTTACGTTGTTATCTGTCGGAAGGTATCTACAATAAACACGATTTATGCGTAGCCGCATTACGAACGGATCCAACAGAAAATTTACCAACGAAAGAAGAATATACGCCAACCGATGATTCTCCCAGTGATAAAATGAAAATTGCCTGGCGCTATGAAAATCTTTCGACAATCAATTCATCGACGACAACAAATATTCATTATGATTTACAAACTACAAAATCCATACCGAACGAGCTCGTCGAACAAATAAAAATACATAAATTAACATTGAATGAATATAAACAATCTCAACCAGCAATATCCTATAGAAATTATTTACTCAAATCTCTTCAACAACTTCTAACAACAAATTATTCATCTCAACATGCTGATAAACGTATTCTTCGTATTGCTATTCAATCATTATCATTATCGTTATTCGATGATGATGATTTACACCATGCGGACGAATTATTTTCATTTTTATATCATCTTCGAATATTACTACGAACATCATTAGCAACATGTGTGATAACATTGAATGAAAAATCGAAATTATTTGAAACCGTCGCTGATATCGTATTTGAATGTAAATTATCGAATACAATTCATAGTGATTATGTCGGTTTTTGTCAATTAATTAAATTACCAAAATTAAATACGGTTCAACCGTTTATTCCTGACACGTGGGACATAGGAATAAAATTAATAAAACATCGCAAGAATATTATTTTCGAAAAATATTCTATACCACCGGATCTCAGTGAAGATGCAAGTCGAGATGAGAAAAATAAAAATTTTTCATGTTCATCATCATCGAAATTGGATTTTTAAAAAATCGATTTTTTTCTGTTTTTCTATTCTAGATTGAAAATTTGTTTTTTTTTATTTATTTGTCATGGACGAAGAAGAAGACGATACGTCATCGTTTCGTGCACATATGTTCGATTTGTCAATTAAACGATCGAATAGTTCGCCTGCTCTTCCTTTACTTGTTAATACTGCTGAGTAAGAGATAAGTCTTTTTTCTTTTACGATATTGACTTTTTTCTCTTTTCTAGAAATGATATGCAATTTGATGATGCTGATTTTTGTGATGCAAAGCTACGTCGGCATAGTTCATCATTTGTAAGTGTAAATCATAGGACGTTTTCTGAACGATAGTTGTTCTTTTTTTTTGTAGAGTTCTCATCAGTCTCGTCTTAGTCGTTTTGCTCATATCATGAAAAATGAATTAGCCAATCCTATTGTCGACGAAGCTTCTCAAGAACGGTATGTTGCTGTTAAATTAAAACTAAACTTGTGCATCGTTATTTCTTTTTTTTTAGTGATTTACATGATAATCTTAAAATGTCGATATCATTTACAGATTTAGCAGTTGGAGTAAGTTTATCGAAAAAAAAAGAAAAATGGAAAGTGTTAAAATTGAATTTTTTAGGATGAACAACAGTCACAACAACCAGCTCAGTTAATCGATAGTCGGCGGTCATCAGTAAATAGTTCCGATTCATCTAATCTCTGCTATTCATGTTCGCCGAGCCCATCAACTCCTGCTCGGCCTTGTGCTGTTGTCAGTAATCAAAGAGTAAGTCGAACGAATTCGTAAAATAAATTATTCTCTTTTTTTTCTCCCTCTCTTATAGCAATGCTATAGTCCAGCTCTTCAACAGCAAGTTGCGCCCTTTCAATGTTACTTAGCTTCTCCACCTAGTCGTTCACAAAGTCCTATTGGAATGGCGACCACTACAAATAATAACAATAGTTCATCAACTAAACTCACATCTTTTCCACCTAATCTTAAGCGAAAACGTAAGTCGACGAAATTTCTTTCGCATTTTCCATGTTTTCATTTTCTAGAAGCCGATGAATCAACAGCAACAACTGGATCAGGAAGTAAAAAATCTAGAATAGGCAGTGATAATGAATCATTATTCGGGCCAACAAATTCACCGTAAGTATTCGAGATATTGAAATACGCCTTATTTGAGGTAACGCGTTTTTTAGCGAATCACCATCTGGTCTAATTGATTCGAATGCAAATCTACTAACAACTCAACAATCACTAAATCTACTTTCGTCTGTTGGTCCATCATTATCTTCGTCTTCTTCTTCTTCTTCATCGTCGTCAACGAACATTCACAATGATAATTCACATTTCAATCCGATACAAAATTCTGATAACGATATGTTTCCTCCTCCAAATTCTCCTAGCCTTTGTCCAAGTCCAACAAATTCCACGTGTTCGTCCTCATCATCGACATTCACTCCCATATCGCCAGCGTCGACAACATCTTCATCATCAACATTTTTACTTTTACCGGCAAGTTTTAATCGTTCAACAGTTATTTCATCTATGCAATCATCAACATTAATTATTCAGTCAACCACTAATCCTATCAGCATAAATACAAACTATTCAAAAATAAAATCCTCCAATCAACTTCAACGTGATCGTTCACTTGATGAACCATTATCTGTTCTATTACCAAGACCAACACCAACAACAACTCAACAAAAATCACCAAATTCATCATCATCTAAACAACAATTTTTCTTTTCATCAGATGACAATAATTCTACGACTGCTCAATGAGAATTTGCTGATTGTTTTTGTGTACAAAGTGTTATGTTTATTTTCTTTTTTGGTCGAATTTTGATTTTCTTTTCTTTTCACATGATGTGCTCACTACTCCTATGGCGCTTCCATCGTTTATTTGTGTTCTCTCTCTCTCTCTCTCTCTCGTTCTGCTTTGCATCATTCCAAAACAAAAGCAAATGCTGTTTATCAACTTTTCAAAATAGTAACATGTTATATATATATAAAACAAATGCTTTCTTCTTCTTACATATATACATATATATATATATATATAAATACCAATGCCACGAACTTGTGTGGTGAATTGAAAACCAATAAGTAACTTGCGTGTTTTTTGTCTTCTTGTCTTTGTATGTAGCCTGTAGTCTTTTTCTTTATTTGTGAACTTATATACACATATATTGTTTGCTCCAATCCTTTGAATATATATATACGTTGAGCTTTCACTCTTCTATTTACCCTTGAAACACATGTATTTACACCAGAAAACGCATATTGGGAAAAGACGAAATTTAAGAGAATTATAGATGATGAATTTTGATCGAACTAAACATTCACATTGTCGATATAATCCATTGAAAGACGAATGGGTACTTGTTTCACCACAACGATTAAGTCGACCATGGCAAGGTTCGTTTCAAATTGATAGGCAGAATTTTTTGTTAATTATGTATAGTTCTCTTTTACTATAGGTCGAGTAGAAGAAGATGATGATGGTGGAGACACGAACAATAATCAACAATCAACTAATCCTCTTTGTCCTGGTGCTATTCGACGGGAAACAAGTCAACCTAATCCATTCTATGAACATACATTCGTCTTTGATAATGATTATCCTGCATTGTTATCCGATATTGCTGCTGATGAAAATGAAAAGAACAAGAATGATGATGATCTTTTTCAATGTCATGTAGCTCGAGGCGTTTGCAAAGTCATATGTTTTCATCCAAATTCAAATTTAACTCTACCACGCATGACTCTTGATGATATTTCGCATGTGATAAAAACATGGATTGATGTTTATCAAGATTTAGCAAGTAAATATCAATGGGTACAAATATTTGAAAATCGTGGTGATATGATGGGATGTTCAAGTAAAATTCAGTTCGTTTTTTTTTCTATATTTTCGTATTTTATTATGAAATATTAGACCCACATCCACATTGTCAAGTATGGGCTACAGATTTCTTACCGAATGAAGCTCGTATAAAGCATAGAACACAAAAAGATTATTTTACGAAACATAATGGAAATGTACTTTTACTTGATTATATAAAACGTGAATTCAATGAATTCAAAAAAGAACGTGTAGTAATTGACAACGAGCATTGGCTTGCCGTTGTTCCATACTGGGCTGTATGGCCCTATGAAACCATGTTACTACCTAAACGACATGTTCTTCGTCTATCGGATTTAACTGACGACGAACAAACTGGATTAGGTCAAATAATGAAGCAATTACTAATTAAATATGACAATCTTTTTAATACTTCGTTTCCTTATTCAATGGGTTGGCATGGTGCGCCAACAGGTGATCTAAGCAACGAAGATTGTTCACATTGGCAACTACATGCCTTGTACTATCCACCATTAGTACGTTCAGCTACAATAAAAAAATTCATGGTCGGCTATGAAATGTTAGCACAGGCTCAACGTGATATAACACCGGAATATGCTGCTGAAGCTCTTCGCAATTTATCCAGTGAAATACATTATAAAGATAAAAAAAATACGTAAAATTTTAGTAAAAAAACAGCTATTATCTTAGTTAAATAGACGCCCGAGTATTTATCTTTTACCTGACAGCGAATAGCTCGTCTTTTTTTTATACTTAAAAATTTTATTCATGTGGTTTTTGTTTTAGATTTAAGAAAGAATCATTCCAATGGAATTAAACAGCGAAATAGAAGAAGACTTGCGTCGTTTAAACAATTCAACATCTATTGCCGATAACCAATACGAAGAATTAATTGATAAGATTTTTTCAATATTTACATCGGCAAATTCTAATATTGAATTTTCGACTTCATTTGATAGACGTCTTGTATCATCTATACTAACATTTATATTCGAATGCGTTAAATATGATTTTGATGAAACATCGATTCGTTCGAAATTAGACGATTTACAATTTACAAATAAAATTCGTCAAGATCGATTTTTAAATCAATTCAATAAAAATCTACCAGTGATTCAATTATATCTTAAACAAAAATCCATCGAACACGATCGTTTATTAGACGTAAATTGGCGGTTAGATTTACAATTGAAAACAAATTATACTGATAAACTATTACAACCGATTTATATTCTCGATTGGACTAAACGAGAAAAATATACAACTAAAATCGATCATATTCAATTCAGTTGTTCACAAGAAAGTTTACAAGAGCTTTTAGAAAAATTAAAAGATGCTCAAAGTGTTCTTCATCAAATGCAATATCAGCAACAAACTAAAAAATGATTTTCTTTTTTATAAAAATTTTATTTTTGAATGAATTCTACTCGATTAAATCTTATCAACGTATTATTTTTCATTGTTAGCTATTATAAAAAAATCGATTTTTGAAAATTTGAATTTTTTCATCGAATAAAACCTGCATAGAACGTTCGATCACTTAGCCGGTTATGTATTTCAGAGGTTTTGATATGCATCTATTCATTTCTAGAGCAGATTATCTGATTTTTCATGGCATTGAATCTCTTTCGGTCCAGTTCATTAACTACGAATAATCGTCAGTTAATAATCGCATTAATTAATATTCGTACACATTACACCAAAACACCTAATCATCATACAAAAGAGAAGTGGCGACCGTTTCGACGAGAAAAAATTCTTGATGTAAACATTTTCATCTTCATTTATTCAGTTCATTTTTTGTGTATCTTTTAGATTGACCTACCGGATTTTGATAAAGACCGAAAATTACGTACATATACATTACAAGAACAAAGAGAATATTTTAAACGTGAAGGCATCCCTCCTGTTCGTGGTGCTGAATATAAACCACTTTTCATCGATGCGTCAAGTACAAATTTACAAATACGAATTATTAAATAATTGATTATTTGATTTTTCTAGCGGAAGCATTTGAAGCCTATGTACCACCTGAAGGAGATGGGAAAGCATCATTAATGTCTAAAGATGTAAAATTGTTTGATTTCATAGGGCAACAATGAATTCTAATATCAATATTTTTAGAGATTAAATCAATTTTATACATCATTAAAAAAGAATATAACTACTAGAAAACATTCGAGTACGATTCGCAAACATGAGCCTGATTTTGAACCATTGCTATTTGCTGAAATTGCTCAACAAAAATATATCGATGCACATCAAGCACTAATGGAGTAAATCAATTTCTTGTTCGTTTGTAAATAAAACTTATTTAAATATTCTTCTTTGTTTTTAGTCGTGATGAAGAACGTCTAATTCAATTAGTAACACCGGGATCGTTTTCAGTGAATAGAATTCATTGAATTATTTTCTTCAACAAATATTCTTTTCATTTATTAGCAAATGGGTCGAGGTCTTCGATATAAAACTTTACGTTGGAAATGGGTTGACGAAATCGAACCATCTTATGTTGTGTCAATAAAAAGTGGAGAAATTCTCAAAGGTATGACTATGGCACAAATCACTGTACGAATGCATTCAAAACAAGTAAGCTATTATTTCTCTCGCACAGTAAAAAATCATTCGTTTTGTTAGACTTGTGCAATTTATGATCGATTTGGTCGTTTAATGTTTGGCAATGAAACACTACCAAAAGATGTACTTGAATATGTTGTTTTTGAACGTGTATTAACATTTTCTCATAGTCAATGGCGTGTTCATTCGAAAATATTACCATCATGGTTACCACCGTCAGATCCATTATTATATACATTTGAGAAACCAGACATAAAATATATCGATGAAGATATTCCAACAGATGCAGTTGAAGATGAAAAAAAACGAGATCAAATTGCTAAAGAACAAGAAACAACAACGAGAACAATACCGGGACCAGGCGAATTGAAAACACCAATACCAAATCTTAGCGATATAAGTCAACACAATAGAAAAAGAACTATTGGTTATTCGTAATTTTTCTTTTGAATGTGTTATAAAAAAAATAAAATTAGACTGATTTCAACGGAATGTATTTTAACTTGGAAAAACAACAGAGCTCATAGTCGAATGAATAAAAATTATATAAGATTTCGAAGTGGAAATCGTGAATATCAACACGAAGATTGAACGGCAACCATTCATATTAAGATGTCTTTTAAACTTGATAGACTTCGGTGTTGTACAGATTCTAGAAAAAGCGTCTCAATACAGTCATCAGTTTTCTTTTGATTTTGAATTGTCCAAGATTAGTCATGATTTGTGGGAAACACTTAATATATTTCTGGTGCTTGGTGATTTTTACTATATAAGCATAGTTCTTTACATTTTCTGGTTTATTTAAACCTCCATACGGCTACGGGAGAGTGATAAGTTCTGTACCGGGCGGAAAGTTTGTAAATAATTCGAATTCTCAGGATCTCTACTATTGCGTGACACATTTCGTGAACGCTGCTGGTCTCTTGATGTTGCAACCGAATGGGAGACCTCCTGAAAAGATGGTCGCCGCTCTAATAGTCTTCCATTGTGTGCCTTTTCTTGGTAATAGCTTTCAACACATGTTTTGCAGATGCAACCGCCTTCACAGTGATGCAGTGATATCGACATAGACGATATATTAGACCGACATACATTGCAAGAAAGTCGATTCGTTTTTTGTTGCGTTCCACGTAGATTTTTGCCGGTCGTTATACCACTCTGAAAAAAATAAAGGAGGTTTACAGAACCCTCCGAAAAGGTTCTGCAGATTTTCAAAAGGCTCCAAATGTGTTCAAAGTCTCAAAAAAAGGATACAAATTTTGACAGAACCTTTTGAAGGTTCTGCGTTTTACCCAAGTGCAGAACCATCTCTTACAGAACCTTTTTTTCGGTTCTGTACAGCAAAAAAAGGTTCCGTGAGAAAATACGAAACCTTGAAGGTTCTGTACAGCAAAACAAGGTTCCGTGAGAAAATACGAAACCTTGAAGGTTCTGTACGAAACCATTAACCGTTGGGGCGTAACCTTAATGGTTCCGTACTGAACCCAATCGTTTTGTACAGAACCTTCAAGGTTTCGTATTTTCTCACGGAACCTTTTTTTGCTGTACAGAACCGAAAAAAAGGTTCTGTAAGAGATGGTTCTGCACTTGGGTAAAACGCAGAACCTTCAAAAGGTTCTGTCAAAATTTGTATCCTTTTTTTGAGACTTTGAACACATTTGGAGCCTTTTGAAAATCTACAGAACCTTTTCGGAGGGTTCTGTAAACCTTCCTATTTTTTTCAGAGCATTAGCATCTTCACTGCGAGCCATAATTTCACAATCACTGGACGAATCGTTCATACAACGATCGCTCATGGGACGACCATGGCTCATGAAAGCACGAATAAAACGATTCTGGTCCTGCAGCTGTTGGTCCATCTTGCTGACTCTTGCACGAAGTTGATCACAAACTAATGTTAGTTTTGTAGCATCAGTTCGAGTATCAGTTCGAAGTTTTTCTATGATGGGACGCATTTGGTGGAACAAGCATATTGATAGGTGTGCCTGGAATTCTTTCCGTGGTCCTGTCCACATGCACTCGATGTTAGCTGCTGAGCAAAAAATTACAAGATTTGGACACTTTTGCAAATGCGCAGCCATAAGGACTGTTCATTAACGATATAATCGAAGAAATTCAACGTATTTGAAAATATGTAAAAGCACTTTTATCTCTAGGCTATTTTTCGAGTAATCACAATAAGTGAACGCTTTTTATTGCCTCGTTCAATATTAATCTGCTTGCAATGTTTACACTGAACGAGAAGATTATTGAGCATATTGAGAAAGTTACGAGTTTCGATCGGCTTGAAACCAGCGAAAGAAGCTGTAGAACGGCATGTTGGGCATACATTTTGCTTATTGAGCCATGTTTTAATGCAAGCCTTACCATATATGTGACGGCACGATTGTGAACAAACAGGTTCAGAGAATGGTCGTGTACAGATTGGACATTTGAGCTCACCATCTGCAGCACTTTCATTCATGTATTGAAAGTCATCTAAGATTATTCGATTTGTTGAAACCATGGTTAGCACTACTATTGGTATATGACAAGTTTCATACTCTTTTAAAGCTTCAAATCTACACTTGAAAAGCATTATTTTTTATATTTAAATTTTGATCAGTTGGAAATTTCTTTGGCGTTCGGTGATTAAACAAAATGCGTCATCACTGCTATGCAATCAAATGTAGGCGAAAAACAAATCATGACTACTGCATAAATCAAATAACACAACAAAAACCTCCAACAATTCCGATGAATTAAAAATTTGCAACATGTAATTTTTCAAAAATAAATGTATTCAACCAATTTTTCTATTTATTGATGAACGGTAAATGCAACTAGAAGAATGGAACTTTACTATTAATGTTCAATAGAGACATTTTCCGCTTTAATAATTTATGTTGAGATAAAGTGAAAAAATAAACAAGAACATATGTCCCAGTAAATAAAGTTTACCATAAATCAGAGTGAAGCTTCAACAGATCTTTAATAAGATAATCTCAAATTATTCGATTAACTCATTGTGTAGTTCATAGGTTAAAATTTTATTTTACAATTCACATTCACCTAGGTCCATAACTGCACATTCACGCTCAACCTCATCCATAATCCTGCATAGAACTTTACACCCTCGCCTTCTGTGTTAAGTTTTTGAGGTTCTGCTGCTTCTGCGAGTGGTGTCATAATCCCGTTACACCGGGTAACGACTTTTTCCTCCAGCTAAACACACTTTATAAACATTCGGTGTATTACCCCTAGGGTATCCACTTTTATATAACTATATATGTTTTAAAGTTGGAGAATTTGAGTTATTTTGGGGTATTACCCTAAAGCGTAACAACTTGGATATTCTCGAGGCAATACATCAAAACAACTCAAATGCGCATAAGATGCTCAATTCGAATTTGAGTATAATTGATGCATGTACTGCACAATAACACTTCGGAAAAACTTAAGGCACAGATATAGCTACAGGAAAATGCAAATAATATCATTTGATCTGAATTGTATTTTAAATAATTTAAATTTAGACATGCATATTACTTAGGCTGAAATGCATGGCATAAATTATGATTCCTAGGAGCATGTCATGGATTCCTGGCAATCCGTAACATTGGTAGAGGGAAGCCTGTCGCTGCTGAAAGCGAGCCGGACGCTACTACATGAATGTATGAGGCTTCTAAAAGTATGCGTGAGATTGTTGAGACCATGTATCAGGTTGCTAATAGTATTCCTCAACTTCCGACAACTTTGCCTGACGTTGCTGCCAGTACGAGTGGAGTCCTTCGAGACACACCACAGGTACCGGAACACATACCTGAGCTGCTAGATACTTTAGAGAGGTTACTGCAACTGTACCTCATCTTGTTACAGGTATTCAAACCAACTTTGCCACAAAGTAACCCATACATCTGGGGGCACCCAATTTCTTGCAGCAAACACAGGAATGGTTCTAGCAATCTGAGGTATGCTTCTAGCAACCTCGGAAATTGTTATAGCAAACGCAGGTATGCTTGTAGCAGGCTCAAATTCATGAATGGATTCTTCGAAAATCTCGTTTTTATTCGGTGTGGAATTAGGCAGCTGCTCCGAATTCCTCAACTTTAAACATATAGTTATATAAAAGCGGATACTCTAAGGGTAATACCCCAAAAAGAATTCGACGGGCATTATTATTTGCTATTCTAATGTATAGGATGCACATTGGGATATCTAAATCAAAGAGACACGCACTGATGTTTTTCTTTTCGTTTGAATGTCCAACTTACTTAATGAACGGACGCAATGTAAAGTATATGTCGCGTCGTGATCCGGGATTATTCTGAATAATGTCATCAATCTTTAACCATTCAACGATCTACGACCAAATGAAAGTATCCATTTTTGAATTTAACATGTTTTTTTTAGAGTGAAAAAAATATTGATAATTACCTTATTTTCTTTGGTATCCTTTAAGATAAATTTCACTTCGTTTTCATTAACACTAACAATGAAAAGACCTATGATGCGTATTTTATTACCAATATCTGGGTTGCTGTCAACACGATATTGTATATAGTTATCTTTTTTTAAATGAAGGAGATGGCAAATATTTTCTTTGTTGATTCGCTGGTGAATTTTGCTTCCTTGATATCTAATTGAAACCTCTTCAAACAATTCACGCAAGCATGTTTCCCATCGAGTTTCCAATGTACCATCTTCCTTGATTTTTGGATGACCTTTGAGAGCACTCCGAGTTCCATGGTGATTTTGAACTGCCAATACCTAAACACATACATTGTAAGTTATATAATGAAGAAAACAAAATTAATTACTTCTAATCAAAATACCAAAACTATTAAGCTATCGATAAACCGGAGTTTAACTCACGAAATAAACATCGAAGGCAAATTATTTTTGGAAGAAAATACGATTTATTTACCTCATTTTTCGTATTGCAAAACATGAAACCATATAATATATTTTCCATTATCACTTGTGCCTTATACACCGCATTTGCTTGTTCACGAAACTGTCTACGTACTAAAAATATATTAATTGAATTATGACAGAATCTCGTAAAAGTAATTTTACATGCTATGCCAATAAAGGCTTTGCGTGACATCTTTATACATCTGTCCAGTGGTTTCTCGTGACATCACACGTTTTTTAAACTTTTTATCTAATTCATTCCAAATCTTGTCTTTTGCGTCTTGAACATTTTTGAGTTTTGTTCTTATCTCTTGTTCACTTTGACCAGGAAACAACCTTCAAAAAGTACAGTAGAATTAAGAAAAAGTAATGAACAGATGGTTTATATGCTGTCTGATAAAGTTATACTTACGCGATTACATTCTCAGGTAAACGACGATCTTCAGATGGTTGGTCTTTAACACATCTAATAAATAATAAATCAATGTGGTTGAACTATATATGATAAAAAAAAGATAAATCTTTAGTATATGACATAAGCTGTTATGTATAAATGATTGTTTTTTTCCCACGTTAAGAAATCCAAAACTTATTTTATGACGAGATTTATTTAAAAAAATCTATTGAATCATTGATTAGAATAAGTGTGCTAAAATCCTTTCCTTATTTTTATAACTAAACAGTGCACCCATTTAGTTTACTTACTGAGGTTGATTAAAACTGCTTGTGGGAACGTTCGTTTTTTCATCAAGATTTTCGAACAATTTATCAGAACAATTTGATATAAAAGCATCCTGCCCAGTAAGGATGATGCTTGGACCTATCAAGATTTGAATTTCTGCCGTATCTTGTACTTGACCAATGCAGTCTCCCGAATCTTGTCCATATTGCTCTTCGGAATTTGTTAAATTTTGATCATTCTGATCTTCTATCGTTGTTGCAGGGCAATTTGCATGATTCGAGCAAACTGTAAAATAAAATCATGTATGTAGGGATGTAGCAATACCAATACCCACCAATACCAATACCCACCAATACCAATACCAACCAATACCAATACCAACCAATACCAACCAATACCAATATCGACCAATGCCAACACCTAACAATACCAATACTACCAATACAAAATGGCATTGGTGGTATTGGTGGTATTGTCACATCCCTACATGTATGAAGTATCAACCCACCTAAACCCGGGTTTTGTTTGACAATAGGACATAGTTTTTGTCATGATTGCAGATTAAAAAATGCAGTTTCATTACCTTCATCATCGGCAGTTGAATTTTGATTAGATTGTGTTTGATAAGTATTATTTGAAAAATTCATAGCTATATAATAATAAAAGTATAATACTAGATAAGCGTTTCATTTTTTTATGATTTGTGAATATGAAAGCGAAAGAATTTTTTGAAAAATTTAAGCTGATCAAGAGATTCCTATGTTGCAGAATCAAGTGCATACTAAATAAAATAGGCTAATATTCTATCATTCATTGCATTATAGTAGAGAGAGAGAGAGTACCTACATAAAAACTGTAAATCCAAAACATACTTACTAGATTTGTTTGGTATAGTTATTTGTAGCGGAATGTCCATCATTATATACTATGTGAAATGCAACTGATGCAAAATAAATCTGTATCAACATGAAAAACATAGAGGATCTCAAAATATATAAAGCTCAGGAGATCTTGCGCTTATGTTTCTAGATAGCAGTGCTAATTTTGTGTGCCTCGTCTCACTTACGAAACTGGAAATCAGCAGTAATGAATGATAAAATATAAGATAGATACTAGTAAATCACTCATAAATAGCTTCTTCTCTTCTTGCTGATGAATTATAAATTACGTGGAATTGAATCTTAGCAACTTTTAAGTAAATTATCAGTAAATATTCCCCAAATCATTTTATTTATTATTAAAAAAATATTTCTAAGCACTATTGTCTTCATCGTCAGTTGATTTTTCTCTGTTTTACGCTTTACTTGTTTACATATTTTTCTTATTATTATTCTTATTTTTGTAACATGATTAATCAACACGAGGAGAAACAACTAATTGTAAAAGAAAAGGAGCACATAAACAAACCAGTTTATCGAAAATGCGACAGTACGATCAAACGAATAAAACTTTCATTCTGTCGACTAGGATTGTGATTAATAAGACGCTTCAGTTCTACTTTTGAAAAAAAGAGAAAAAATCGTCGCCTTCTACGCATCATTTATAACGATAGTATGTCAACGGGTGTCTAATTTTTCTCTCGTTAAGTTTTATTCTTTTGCGTAAGCGCGCACATTTAAGTGACTTTACAGTTTCTTTTTTCATACATTCTTACTGTAGTAAAAAGAGAAATTAAACAAGAAAAAAATTATTTTTATCAAGGAAAACATTGTTGGCGTACAAAAACAAGGAAACATATTACATGAATACTATATTTTTTGCATTAAAATTAGTTATAATGAAATGTAAATAGAAAAAAGATCAATAACTGGGTGTGATTTTCTATTCTCTCAACTTCGGTTGAAATATAAGATGTCGAATGGGAAAATATCGAAAGGTAAATATGCCGAAAAGGGAAGAATTTCGAAAAATTCTTCTGTAAGACTAAAACTGCTGAAGAATATTCATTCAAGAAAGAGAGTGAGTGTGAGCCTGTGTACATGAATATGGGTGTCCCTGGGTAGTCAGCGAGACCCACACTCATGCGCTCAGTGAAATTTGCGCCGTTTATTGATTTTCCGCGGTAAAATCGCAATTTATGTACCATATTGGTAAAAATCGACAATTTCGAGGAAATGAGTTTACACGAGGAAAATAAATGTCTAGATAAATAAGAAAAACGTTCAATGAGCAAAATTAGAGTGTGGTGGCAAGACAAGAATATTCATGAACTATTTTATTCGATGACAAGCCTGTAATTATAAATGTTGGTTTTTCTTTCGTTCGCAAATGAAACATTTATACTCTTTCTCTTGAACGAAACACAACATGAACTTTTGAGTGAATCAAAAACATCACTTCACATGAGTTACTTCTGTGCTTTAATCATTATAAATGATTGGAGCGCAAAGTTAGATGCAATTTTTAGTAGCCAGGTTTTCAAAACAAATAGACAATAAGACCGTTGAGGTTTTTCTTATCTGCATTTTATTTTTGATAGTTTATCTTATCAACTGCGATTTAATGGTTTTCAAAGTTTGAAAGGCATACCCTAACGAAAGATTTTAGATATTTAATGATTTTTAACTAATTCTTATACATAATACTTACCTTTCATTTTCTAAGTAGAATTTCAAAAGCATATGCATCATGCTAATTTTCTTGTTCAACAAAGGATTACCAGGATTTATTGATTTACTCGAAATTCATAAGTAAACAATTTGTCGACCTTCATCTACATCATTGTACATACCGCTTTTACTCGTTAGTTTTGAGAAATTCGTATTAGACACTTTCCGGAAAATGTTTATCCGGTATGAATTCGTTTTCTACGGTAGTTTAGTGAAAGAGACATTTTTTAAAATATCTGTTTGAGTATTTTTCCAGCTTGAAAATTTTATAAACCTCAAATGTTTCTAGTGTAGGACTTAAAATTAGATATATGATAGGACAGGTTTTGATTAGCCAAAATTGAAACAAAGCGAACAAAAAGACGTGTGCATCATATTTTCGAGTGTTGCAGGTCTGTACGAGTACGTCGAATTTTGCGTTCTGCTATTCTTTTTTCTTCTTTCCACAGAAAAATCTTACCATCTTACAACATCATGTATTTCATCTAGTGGGAAAATGCAACTGAGTTTTTTCCTTAAAATATTTGAATTTCGGATTATAGTTATATTTTTCTCAACGGTCTCATTTTATTTTATTTTTTTGTAAAGTTGAAATTTCTAATTACTCTCCCCACTCCTAACTGAAACATCAGTGGTTACAATGATAAGCATACTTTTAAAGTTGGCAAGAACTTCGCTTTATATTTATGCTAAATTTCGAAACTGTGAAGCTTTCAAAGAAGATTTGATGTCAAAATTCTGCATCGCAATATTAAATACGAATACAATTCATTTTTCTACTTAGGAAAACGATCAAATTCGAGATGACACTGATAGTTCCGATAATGACGATGAGATGGCACCGAGTAGCCCTGGTGAGTCAGCTTGCTTTTGATAAAGAAAAAATGAATTTACTGTCTGAGATATCATTAACCAGTTCCCGCAGAATATAAAAACAAAGATGCTGCTATCGAAGCTATCTATGCATGTTTCTATGCTTTCTAAAAAAAAACTTTCCTAGAAACCCCAAACCGGTTCGGAAACCTGAAAGGGTTTTCGAGAGGGTTTTCGAGGACTCGAAGCGTTTTCAAAAATACCTTCTCGGTTTCCGAGACTTCGGAAACCCTTCGAGTTTTCTACGATATGATTTCAATGCCCTTAAGGTATTCTACAAAACCTTTTTCTTACTGTCGAAAACCAAACCGTCTTCTCAGAAACTCTTAGGGTATTCTAGAAAACTAATATTGCCAGAAAAATGACTTGGTATCCGAATGGGTATGCGACAATACCTTTTTGGTTTCCGAACCCATTATTTGCAAACCCTTTCGGTTTCCAAGCCTATTGAATGTTAAAGAAGTATTTTGGAAAACCAAAATCGGTTTCCGCGTTTTTTTCAATTTGTAATAGATTTTCATACTTCTAAAAATGCTGAATATTTCAGAAAACAGAACATGATCCAAGTCCAAAACATCTCATAAGGTCATTTTCTCCGATCAATCTGGATCGATCCACATTCCACAAACTACAGAGTTCGACATTTTATTTCAACTCTGTTCTCAATTCTGATGAAAGTTTAAAATAGGTTATCGACGTCCATGAATCGGAATACGTCATCATTCTTTTGATTCTAGCTCCTATCTATCAGAAATTGGACTGATCGGAAATGAGACTTGTTATCCTTATATTGAAAGTTTTTTCTAAGGATTTGAGTATAGATTGACTGAGTATATATTATCATCTCATAATCTGGTAATGTTTTTCTGCGTCAGAGGAGTTTAACAATTGAAGATGATGTGGGCATTGAAGGTTTGATTTCTTTTAGATGTAGAATTTGGCGGAAATTTCTATTGCTATTGAGTGACAAAATTTATATAATGTTCCTATCGGTATCCGCATCTACAGAAAATACGTCTGTGTTGTGCATTTGTGGGTTCAGTGAGTTGAGTCGCGATAGTTACTTGTTTTTTTTCAGTTTAGATCGATTGCTAGATGAGTAAATGTTAATGGTGAGTTCCATTTTAAAAGTTAAAAGCTAATGAAATATGTTTCTCTATTTAGATCAAATGGCAGATAAACAAATCGTATAAGGGTGAGTTTGATTTTGAAAGTTAAAATGTAATGAAATATTTTATTTTTATTTAGATCCAGCATAAGATTAGCAAATAATAACTGTGAGTTCGATTTTAATAGTTAATAGCTGATGAAATATGTTATTTCTTTTTAGATACAACATCCCATATCGGTCGTCCTTTTCACTGGATCCTGGAGACACTGACAGTAAAGATGCTGAAAACCACTGTGTCTTGTAGGAAAACGGATGATATCTTTAAAACATGGTAGCAGTGTTCCAGCCGCAAACTTTCTGGATTTGTTTTGATGATTTCCGAACCAGCTTGCTGTGTTTTTCGGCAAGATGCACCGGAAATCATGAGAAAAAACTTGGAAAACTTTACGAGCGGGATCCTGCTTCCGTGTTCCAGTGATATCATGTGTTTCCATACAGAGTACGGTGATTTCCAGGCGGCTTTTCTGTCAATTTCTGCAGCTTCTGTTGGGCGTAACGATCGGCCCGGGCTATAACAATTTGGTGATTCTCGATGCAGAACGGGACGAATGAAATCTCGGAAACCTTTAATCCGTTTCCGATATGAGCCACTATTGGCTGAATGATTAGGATATTTGACACGTATCCACAAGATACTGTGATCGAACCTCAGCTCCATCGAGTTTATAGAATGACCTTGGATAATTTACTAACGGCTATATTATCTCGGATCACCCATCTGATAGCAAACTGACTACGTGTGACATACATTAAAATAGCTGTTGTAGCTAGTATGTTGTTAGTCAATGTGTACGGGGAACTTAAGCAATTAAGCGTGAAGAACTCTGAGTCAGGCCGGCCTTCTGTCCAGAGCTACATTTAATAATAGATATAGGAAAAAAATCGGGCCCTTGAAATTGTCCTCTGACAACACCCCACACTGCAAGGTAGCCGAAAGGAAGGGTATTCTTCTTCTTCTTCTTCCGACATTGGTATCCGAAGGAAATTTTTATTTGGTTTTTCGGTTTCCGAGACCTCGGAAACCTATTTTGAGTTTCCGAGAATACCGTGTTTTTAGAGAGTATATACAAATGAAAAAATCACTTCTCAATTAACTTTCATTTATGCAAGAGTTAGAATTTATATTAAATTAAAATCGATTAAAGACAGATTAAAAGTCGATTACGATCATATGATTCTTATAAAGTTCCAATTATTTAACATCAAGAAGACACAGGAATTCCTAACACATGGGATTTGATACAATGAATTAAAATAAAATGATCGTTATTTTTAAAACTATTTGGTAATAGTACACTAAGACGTAAGTGATAAAATCGGATATACATATTTTTAGCAAAAGTCTACAAGAAGTTCAACTTGTCTGATGCGTACACATAAGAGCTGGAATTCATGAAGGTTGATCAAGTCTACATAGAGAATACCAAAAATGAAAAGAGAAAATACTAATAGTGATTAAAAAAGATGCGAGAGAAGATAGAGAATATAAAGAAAATAGCGATATTATGTCGACGTGCGACATCCCCGTAACATCTCTGTATAAGTCACTCTTAATTTTTTGAATTTTTTTCTACGCGAGCTACATTTTCTACGTTTCACTAGATAAAACCAGGCAATAGCCGCAGCGATGGTGAAAATAGAAATGGCCAGCCATAATAAAAACTGCTCGAAGTACTTCAAGGATGACAATAATATCGGGTTGCCGGACAAGCGCGCTTGGGCGTGTTTTCTAGCATATGTGTCGAATTCAATCCGCTTGAGATTGGCCACTGAGATGTTCTTGTGTTTAGGCGAGAGCAGATTGGTGGTTGTTTTTGTCTTACTTTCAAAATGATTGTTTTTTTCTACTATATGACATTGATTGAAAAAGTGACTCCGATGCCACAGATGGGATCGGATTGTCAAAAGAGTTGGTCGGTTTATACGAGTAAAGTGAAAATCGAATATAGGAGGATTCATAGTGAAATTCAAGTGAATATGGGGCTGAAAATATTTGACGAGGGGATTCATTGGTCCTTGGGTTGTCTTAAAATTGAGACCGCTTTCACGGTAGCTTACGGCAAATGCCTCTCGGTTTGGAAAGTTGGTATAAAGAGAATACCATCCTCGCTCAAACGAAAACCGAATAAACCAGGTCTCCCATATTCTCCCAGTGCGATATCGTTCCATCCACCATTGTGTCGAGACAAGACCACTAGGAGTACACCCTGCTTCCATGTCATCAATTTTCACTGCTGCGATCCATTTCAGGAAGGCGTGCCAATGTTCGGGAAAAAATACGGCACCCCACGTTCCTAGAATTCAATATTAAGAGCTACCAAAAAAAACACCATCAGATAACTTACCAAGTAACTGATATTTGAAAAATACTGGAGCACCTGTTTCATTGAGTTCTTTGCCAATCGATCGAATACGAAAGCTCGTTCTCTGCCCGAGCACTGTATGCTGATGCTGCAGCGATAAACCAAACATTCGACTGTCGTAATTACTCTGATTCATGTAGTAGAAGTTGATAGCTTGCTTAAGAAAAATGTAAAAGTGAGGTGACACTTCAATATCGTCCTCAAGAATCAGTTGAACATCTTGATGATTATTCGCTAATGTCCATTGACCAAACAAACCAACATGCTTTTTGTGAACAGTAATCGAAAGAGGGCCATGTGACCATCTATGTGATAAAGTGAAGTATTATCACAGAGATATCAAGTAACGTCAAATGAAAGAAAAAATTTCAATTAGCTTTGAGGGTGTGGGAGTTCATCTTCTAACTAAGTTTTCAGCACCTTTTAACGTTTTCTGTACCTTGTATTTTAACCTACACCTTGTTTACACGATGTCCTATTGAGAAATGCAGTATGTATTCCAAGTAATAAAAACAAGACAATAAAAGTTGATCGTGTTTGTGGGATCACTTTTGCTGGTGAAAACGAAGCGGAAAAGTCATTTTTGGAGAATCTTTTCTCAGTGTAACATCTCGATTTTTCATAAGACCCTTTACTTCGGATGCATCAGCATCGTTTTTTAAACTTACCGAAACTTAGATGAATGTTGTGCACCATCTCCCATGTACGCTATAACTTGCTTCCATCGATTTTTTTCGGCTACACTAGCCTTTGAAGAAGGTCGATCTATTGAAATATCTAATGCGACAGAATCGCTCGAATAATTCGCAAGCTGAAGACTCATTAGCAATCGTTGAAGGCTTTTGAGCCGGTTGTAAGTAAGAACACGAATACGAATGCGGACAGGGGCGGTCCTATCGGGCAAGCTGTAAGGTATACCGTTTCCTAATGAATCGCATGAACTGTCAGTACTTGCTAAGAGATCCCATGACCGTAATCGTTTTATTTTTGATTCTAATCCTGCAAGCCAGTTTTCGTGGATGACAACTGGTACAAGTCCTCTACTTTGGGATCGGTGTTGATCAAAGAAAGAAAGTTCATCAGGGAAGAGGTAAGGATCAAGGAACTTGACTGTTGTGAATTTGAGACGATCGTTTATGCATTCTTGGTCTGTGAAGGCGCTAGCTGGAAGTTTGTTTTTGTAAAATTGCTGTTCTTGTAATTTCACAAGAATTTGACTTTCGCATTTGATTACGTTCTGCCAAAAATGACGACCTTGTGGAGTAGCATGAACAATAATGAGGCCTCGGCTCATTTTCATTTTTTTGTGCATTTGACCTTGAATTGTAATTGATAAGTTTTGTGAAATAGAATCAAACGGATTGGAAAGCCAAATAGTGTCTATGTCCGTGTTAAGAAAATGATAGCCCGCACGAAGCACGCGCATGAGGAATTCGAGACGATACATCGTAATAATCTGAAGATCATATGAACCATATTTGGCTTCTGATTTTGACGAAGTATCTAATGACTGTTTGAGCGAGATGAATACTGGTTCATTGGCTGCTCGTAGTATATTGTAGGCTTCAAAATCTTCGGCAAGTAAAATGTAGTTCTGAAATCCAATTCGTTTCGCCCAGCAAACCTACGTCATTAAAAGTCTTGTTCAAGCCTAGCTCAATAAATAGTAGGACATAACTTGACTATTACACGTTTAACATGATGAATCAGTTTCTCAGTATCTCGATCGTATCTATTCGAATCTGAATAGTTTGATTCTGTTCATTTCAATCTAGAATATGGTGCATTAATATGCATATTTCATGTACTACAAAGGTTAACTGCAGGATTAAGTATTAGCTTATTTACTACTTAAAAGATGCATATTAACGCTCTACACTCTAAATTGCAACGTACAGAATGAAATTAAAAGAAACATTGATTCTGATATTGGAAGTTGTAAAGGGGAAAAGTTTATGTGAATTTGGTTTCGAAAATTGTGCATTTAAAACTAATCAGTTAAGTTACATTGTAGGGGCTAAAAGAAAAAATCTCTCAAAAACAAATCCTATTACGTTGAAAAATGTTGCCGATTTGAATGAGAAGTATTCGAATCCAAATCAGTATATTTCCTAGTCTGTTCAATAGAAACTTTGCATTTTGCTCATACTTTGAACTAAGACTAATTCTATTAACCAATAAACGTCTGTTGTTACCTGATGTAACTATGGAATCATATGCTTGCTAATTACATATAAACGAACGTAAAAACACTTACCCAATTCCACACGAGTGGCATTTGTCCCCGGTTAATAGCGAGTACGGCTATGTACTTCTGTGCATTCGCTCTTTGCTTGAGTAGAATAACCTCACTTTGAAGCAAATTATCCTTGAGTTCACATTGACTTTTTTGACAATCACCTGAGAGTATTTGAGGAGCATTGTTAATAAAACCAACTTTATAGTCTGTCCCTGATATATTTTTGGTCAATTCATCGTTGTAAACTGCTCCTATCCGAGAAGAATGATGTAGTGGTTTCTGACCGTCGAGTTCTTTTAGCTTTTGGTGAATGATAAAGGTCGATTGAGTTACATCAATAACAGTAATGTTTGTTCTTAATAACATTTCGCTTAGCAGCCAATTATCCCATCGATAAACACCGACGAGAAACGGAGCCATGTAAATAGGTGTCTCTGTTTTGAACGCAATAAAATCAATGTCAGCTGTTGAATTAATTCGGCTATTATTTAAAGCGTCCCGCAAAGTGTTTGCTGGGTCAGAATAATCTAACGTGCGAGATATTACATAGTCTCGTCTACATCCAACAAGGAAAAATTCGCGGAAGTGGGTATTTACAAAGGAAATAGCATGAGGCACGCTATTATGTAGAATAATGTCGCCATTGACAAAAACTAGAATAGACGTTTTTATATTTCGCTGAGCTAGATCAAAGACACAATTCATGTAAGGTCGATGATAAGTGGAGTGAAAGCATTTGGATAAAGGAAGGCTTTGACAAGAAATCTCTTGATAGAGAGTTCTCATGAAAGAACATGATTTTTCGTCGTCAAAAAATAGGAAAATGTTTTCCATTGGTAATAGTTGAGACCAACTCCAAATGGCGTTAGTTTGTATCTGATGTTGGATTGGATCAACATTTGGCATTTTCTTTAAAATTGAGAATATAGTGAAGTCTCTAAAGTTTAACGTCCCTGTCACTGTGTTTATCAATAATAATACAACTAATACAATTTTGATTTTGCCCGGATCACTTGTAGTTTGTGCATTCAAAATGAAATGTGTCATCACTAGTTTTGCTTGAAGCCGTGCCACCAAATGTATTATTTTCCAAGCCAGTCTAGTTCTTAAAGCATCTAAAAAAGAGGGCTGACAAAGATCCAGAAAAGGTCCACTTTACCTAGAGTCCTGTGAAAAGTCTTTCGTCGTCAACCTAAAGTCTCGCCATAGGATCTTACTAATGGCGGCACCTGTCCACGGGACTTTGGATAGGAAAAGTGGCATTTTCTCGAAACTTTACCACTGCTGGATAGTTCTAAAGTTTTATTGAGTCCAAATGAGAATCCTAGATTTTATGCCATTTAACTCATTCTGATACAAAGAAAAAAGCATGCATCCTTTTTATTTCATACCATTGTTAGCGTTAGTGATGAATCACACTAACGCTACAACGATGAACAAGATGTCCCTTCTAGTCTAATTGGCTTAGGACAACTGCCCGGATAGCAGGAGGTGTGGGTTCGATTCCCATGAAGGTCATCATCTTTTTCATCGTTCTATCACATACCATCAGTGACGCTGCTTTATCTCTTTCGCTCTTCATATATCTCTCTTTCCTTCCTTCCTTCCCTTCCCTTTCTTATATATCTATATATGAGAGCTAACAATAGANGAATATGGGAGACCTGGTTTATTCGGTTTTCGTTTGAGCGAGGATGGTATTCTCTTTATACCAACTTTCCAAACCGAGAGGCATTTGCCGTAAGCTACCGTGAAAGCGGTCTCAATTTTAACAAAACTCGAGGACCAATGAATCCCCTCGTCAAATATTTTCAGCCTCATATTCACTTGAATTTCACTAAGAATCCTCCTATATTCGATTTTCACTTTACTCGTATAAATCCATCAACTCTTTTGACAATCCGATCCAATCTGTGGCATCGGCATCACTTTGTCAATCAATGTCATATAGTAGACAACAACAGTCATCTTGAAAATACGACAAAAACAACCACCAATCTGCTCTCGCCTAATCACAAGAAAATCTCAGTGACCAATCCCAAGCGGAATGAATCCAACACAAATGCCTCAAAACACGACCAAGAGCACTTGGCCGTCGACCCGATATTATTGTCATCCTTAAAGTACTTCGAGCAGTTTTTATTATTGCAGGCCATTTTTATTTTCATCATCGCTGTGGCTGTTGCCTGGCTTTGTCGAATGAAACATAGAAAAAGTAGCTCGCGTAGAAAACAATTCAGAAAATTAAGAGTGATTTATACATAGATGCTACGGTGATGTTGCACGTCGACATAATATCGCTATTTTCTTTATATTCTCTATCTTCTCTCGCATCTTTTTTAATCACTATTGGTATTTTCTCTTTTCATTTTTGGTATTCTCTATGTAGACTTTATCAATCTCAGTGAATTACAGATCTTATGAGTACGCGCCAGACAAGTTGAACTTCTTGTAGACTTTTGCTAAAAATATGTATATCCGATTTTATCACTTGCGTCTCAGTGTACTATTAACAAATAGTTTTAAAAATAACGATCATTTTATTTTAATTCATTGTATCAAATTCCATGTCACACATTATGTGTCACTACCGCCGGTATACCGCGGTATTCATAATAGCGGCGGTGTACCGGCAGTATGCTGGCGGTAGAGCGCACACCATAGGCGGCGGAACGATTTCGATCTAGGGTAGACTCAACGTTTTGGACAAATCAAGTCTCACCATTGAAAAAAAATAGAGTTGAAGTCAGACTGAAATCGACTAAAAGCACTTTAAATGTCAACTATAAGCATACGATTTTGATCGTCTTTTAATCATTTTTTAACTGATTTTTAATAAAATAGCCGAAAAAAAAATTTTCATTGATTCATTCGATTATTCAGATTATGATTGATTAAAACTTCATAGAAAAATTGATTACAATTTATGCAAATCGGTAAAGATCGAAAGAAGCCTTTTGCATTTATCATCAGAAGAATCAATTAAAGTCGATTTTTTTATGCACCTTACCTTGATTATATGTAGAAATAATCGCGATATACAATGAAATTTTAGTTTTTCAATTGTCAAAGATTAATACTGGCTAAAAAACGATTGGAACTTTATAAGAATCATATGATTGTAGCTGACTTTTAATCAGTTTTTAATCGATTTTAATTTGATATAAATTCTAACTCTTGCATAAATGAAAGCTAATTGAGAAGGGATTTTTCATTTGTATATAAAGGGACTCGTTTTACGTTTTCTTACTAATTTTTAATTCTGTATAAGTGGAATAACTATCTGATGCGATATGGTTTTTAGATGCAACAGCAAGTAAAGAAGTAAATAAAAAACGCAAAAGACTGCTTGCAAAAAGTCACTAGAAGAACAGTCAAAGAAGAACCTATTCAGTACGAAAAATTGTTCTATATTTCATTGTTTGCAGAAAAATCAAAATAGATACTTAATAATGATGATGTCGAGTTTTTGTTGATTCTAACGACGCTTTGTCCTACCATGAGTATCATTTAAATTCCTAATTTAAATTTCAACAGAAGACGGATTCTCACTAAAACTATTCCTGGTCTTGCTTTTGCAAGAAAGACATACTCTAACTTTGTTTAGCTCGTATTTCTGCACGGCACAAGTAATGTTATTCGAGTGTCTAAGATTTAAAAGTAATTTTAAACAGAAGTTACAAAAGCAATTCAGCTATCTTAAATGAAGAATTACGAATTAGATATCAATTTTAATGCCAAAAACGTTCAACTAATACTTCATTGCGAACAAGTTACTAGTAGAGAAAATATGAAATGATCTTGTAATAATGCGTTATTTGTTAGAAAAGCCCCGAAACTAAAGAATAAAACCATTTTGCATATAACAATCTATTCAAACATTTATCTGTTCCAGTTTCAGTCTATCAAGGTCTAACCCACTTCCAATCTAGGATAGGTTTGAACCGTCGGTATACCGCCGGTTTTTTTCCGGTTTGAATCACATGGGATGGAAACAAAATAAGATAAATAAACGATACATCATAGAGAAATACATAGTAGATGAAGTAGCATCGAGTTATAGATTCAAATATTGACTTTTGTTTGCTCATTTTCATAGATGTCATAATACCCATCGAATTCATTTTGGTCTATTATCATAAAGCGTAACGGTTTTGATATCCTATAGGAAATACCCCAAAATGAATTCGATAGATATTACGAAGTCGAAATCTCGATATCCAGTGTAACTTTATCATGACATCTATGCTTCAAGTTCTCAGCAAATGGTTCGCTAATTAAATCATTATTTAGAGAAAAAAACATTTCTAAATCTAGAATACATTCCGCTTGATTCGACAAAGAAATTTTCCGTGAAAATGAAATGTACCAAAATTAATTTTGGTTTACCTAATGAATAACTCTCCATTAAGAAAATGTTTCGAGTTTTATTTTCAATTAAAAAAAAATTAGCAAAGTCACATACTATATCATATAGTACTCTAAAAATAAGATTATCGAGGAGTGTACACGTAGTCCGATGTTTTTTATAGTCAAAAAGAAAAACAAACAAATTTCATCAAGATAAAAATAGGAAAATCGTTATTTGTCCAGGATACATTTCATTTTTCAATAAAAATAAAAATAAAAATGATTTTTTCCATAAAAAAATAATTGTCTGCTTAAATAAAGAGCGATAAAGATGAACATTGATCGTTGTAGATGAGGAAGAATAATAAAAAATAATCGAATAGGTATATCATTTTTTAGGATAAAGACAGCTAATGGATGCAATCCTTCCTTGATATTCGTTTCAAATGGATTATAACTATCACTATAGAACCATCTTGTAATGTAATAATACATTCGAATAGGAGCAAATACTCGATGAAGAGTGTCATGTGTTGCATGAAAACTAAAGACAGAAAATTCATAAAAATGCATCTTCAAGTGTCTTTCTGCACTATATTAACCTGTCAACAAAAACTGAAGTTGAAATATTATTAACAAGTAAATAACTGGTACGTGTAAGTGGCGAATAGAAACCGGTGCGCTGAGAATATTCAATTTTTTTCAGTCCTACCGTACGACTAGCTATTATCAATCGGTGATTTAGTGTTACTTTAGACGCACGTATAATTTGTGTTTTTTCTTCACGATTAGCAACGACAAGGATATTGTGTGAACCGGACAAACTGATTGAATGTCCCTCTTGTGTTATAAATGTATAGAAAGGAACTAGAATTCAGTTATTTACTAATGATAAACTCAAGTAAGATTTTATACAGACTTATGGTTTTTGGTTCCGCATGTAACATCAAGATGATTTCATCGTCAATTAAATGTCTACCATCGCTACTTAACGTCCATATACGATCGCCTACTAGTAAATTTTTAATAGCACGTTGCCCTCCATCTACTAGGTTGACATAGTCTTCGCCAAAGTAGCATCCTAAAATATTTTGATATTGAGTTCACGGTTAGTACTTCATGTTTGAAAATGAAGAAGTCAAACTTGTTCTCATTACCGGATCCACTCGTAGTCGTTGTTGTAGTGGCAGTCGTAGTCGTTACTGTAGTGGCAGTCGTAGCTGTAGTGGTAGTAGTTGATGTAGTGGTAGTAGTTGATGTTGTTGTTGTCGTTGATGTATTTGTAGTAATTGATGTTGTTTAAGTAATAGTTGTTGATGTTGTAATAGTTGTTGCAGTTTCTGTTGTAGTTGACACTAGAAAAGCATAATCTTCTTGCTTAAAAAAAATATCAGAGAAATTTTATATTATTTCTATGCAAATAAGTAGACTGATTATTATTCGTCTCATTTTGAAGAAAACAATTCAAAACTAAAAAAATGTAAAAGAAACGACAACATTTGTGCATATAAGAGGAATACCTCATTATTTCCAATCCAACAAACGCTACTATAGAACCTCTTGAAAATCTCCATATACTTAGCGGAAAACACTGGATGTGAATTTTTTTCTCAAGTTTTGAAACTGATTTGATAGAGTGATTTTTACTGAAATATATATATATGAGAGAAAAGAAGTTGCAGAAGAGGATCATGTTCACATTTACTCGTAAAATTACGAAAGTTAACAATCAATCTAATCATACCAGTGCTCGTAGCATCTGTTTGATGGATAAATACAGAAGTAATTCCATAAGCAAGAATTGCAATGGCTAAAAGCACAAAAATACTAATCATCGGCAGCATGATGACGCGAGTTAAAACTAGCTTTTGTTTAATCGTTGTAGTATTTTGCTTCAAATTGCTAAAATATATGCAATTAGTTATTGAAAGATGAGAAAGCAATGTTACTTACTTGTCAAATGCGTCTGATGAAAACTTCGTCTGGTTCGATATCGATGGCTTTGAAGATGGAGAATAAAGATTTACATGGGTGCGCTTCTTATGTTTGGATTTCAACTGTGAAAAAAAGATTTGCATTAATGAGTATTTAACATAGAGATAAATTCAATTAATATATACCTGAGGCCGACTCACAAAGACGTTTTTCCTTGGGGCATAAACCATCTTGATGCGTTCAAATAGAAATCTAGTCGATATTGTGATTTATTGTTACTATATAAAGAGAGAGAGAAACTCGAAAATATTGACGTACTTCTCTCTCTTCGCGTTAGTTCTTTTTCTTTGTTGAATAATTAAAGAGATGCTGCCTTTCGTATATTAATTAGATGACCGAAAGCCTTTCAGATGTCGCATACTTTCCATTCATTCTTTAGACTTCTAGTGCAATTTATCTATAAATTCAAAAGCTTCTATTTAACAAGAAGATTGAACGAAAACAATGCGATGTATTGCGAGCAGACATAGCTTGAGTGGTGCTAAAAAGCATACGCTGATACTGTTAACGTTGGAAGTAGACGTCTTGATGATGATAAAACAGTTTTTTTTTAATTCAGGCAGTCTGAATTATCAAAAATAACGTAAGCTGTGTTAACGTTAGTGATGTAACTTACTAACGCTAAACGAAGATTAAGATGTTCTTCTAGCCTAACTGGTTAGGGCATCTGTCCGGATAGCGGAAGGTGTGGGTTCGAGTCCCACGAAGTTCACCTTTTCTGCGCTCGTCGCATAACATCAGTGACACTGCTTGCCTCTTTCGCTCTTAATATCTCTCTCTCTCCTTCATTCCTTATATATCCTTTTCATTCTATACATATTAGAGCTAACATACTGAAGCTAATGTAATTAGTCTACTGTTACACATATGCTGCCAGTTTTAGAATGCCAAATTGAAACTTTGTATTAAAAATATTGGTTTTAGATCTTTTGTGAAAGGTATAGTGATGAATTCAACAACGATGGCAATAAATTACTAGAACTGAAATATTGAACAAAACAAACAGTATAGCTCTTACATCGCTGTAATATAAAGCTCCACAAGGCATACAACAGAAACATCACAAGACCATGAAATTTTTATTATAAACTCTAATTTGCATTATATATTATAATGCACAAGCATTTATATTATAAAAATAGCAGCAATGTTTGCCAATACAAGAAAGCTGAAAAGATTTTGTTTCATTATTAATAAAAATCTTCATAACGGGGCTTTGCAACTAAAACAAAAAGAATTGTTCTTATTGACAAAGTGCGCTCGTACTTTTCGTATCGACAAAGTGCACTCGTACTTTTCGTATTGAGAAAGTGCGATTGCTCATGTACTTTTCATATTTATGATTGTGCATAGTAGAGAATGCAAATTACATATTTTTATTTTAATTGAAAATTCATTACCAGTTCGGGCAAGGGTGCAACAAAAAAAGCATACCCTCACATAATTCAAAATTAATTTTATTCCGTTGCATACTATAGCTTTAGTTACGAATGCTTGTTTGAATGAAATACTATGAATGGCTAAAATTGCAATCAACATTTTTATAAATCCGGTGTTTAAATTGCGTTCAACTAATAGCGTGAAGATGAATTTCACACCAAGTGATTCAAATAAAGTAGCAAAACAATCATTTATTATGAAGTTACTTGTTATACAGAATTGAATCAAGAAGTCAAACAAGTATGCCTATCACCGAAATGATCATGTTAGGCATTTTATTAGTGACCTAGCGAGATTATAAAATAGCAAATAATGATATGAAAAGCTTGATTAAGGTGATGGAATCAGCTGATTACGATGAACGACATTGCACTAGAATTAAAATATTAGAGAAAATATTTTCTCTATTGATATAGCGCTGTATCAAAAGCAAAACTTTCGCAACATCGGTCAGAAGTTCTACCGCCTATTATTTCTCAGCTCACATGTGAAAAAAAATGCGTTCATAATGAATATATATATTTACATGAAAGAGTAAATTGAGTACATGAAAATAAATCTAAAATAAGAGTATTGCGTTTTAGAGTACTTCTAAATCGACATGTCGCAAGTATGGATGTTTTTTCTAAAAAAAAAACGAAAATCATTTTCAAAAACCGGAAAGTTTAAAATAAAATTTTACTCGAAGATTTCGTTCGATACGATCGATTTCTGCTCCGACTCTGTCGACCACATTTTCACCGTGTTTAAGCAGAAATGCTTCTGCTAACTCAATCGTATCAACTTTTTGAATTTCCTTAATAAATCATAAATTTAGAAAAAAAAACATTTTCCGGATTAAATTTTCTCTCATACTTTAAGAATAATTTCAATATCAATTCGTTCTAAATACGATCGAGCTATTTCTCTTCCATCGATATCAACTTCTGCTTTGAACATAACAGATTGTGAACCCATATCTGTTGCTTTAATATCGTACAATGCACTAAAAATAAAAATGCATAGAAAACAAAAATATTTATTCAAATATTTACCGAACCATTCGATCGTTTTCTAAATCATTATTAATTGCTTCGATTTGATTCGGATGAATAGATCTATAACAAAAAAAAAAACATAATTTTTTTTCATAGTTGCAGTTTTACCGTCCAACCAGTGCAGCCGTATTCGAATAAATAATAAATGAAGCAACGCCACCCAAAATACAACCAACAATAAGCGACCCAACCGCATCTGGAATAGGTGATTGGAGATAAAGTGAAAGGCCCATAGCCGTAGCAGCGACACATACGCCTAAAACCGCTGCTAAATCTTCTAATAACACCACATTGACATTTGGTTTATATCCTTGACCCACTATTGAACACAAGAAAAACAACACAGTTAATAAAACAATAAATAAATCTTCGTACCATATTCCCAAAATTTCATTCCAGTCTCTTTTGCTGATGCACGAATTTCATTCGCAGCCATATAAAGTGTCGCTGGAAAAAAAACGAAATCAATAATAAATCGAAAAATTACAATCATCGAATCAAACCTCCTTCAGATATGAGCGAGCCACTTAAAAGAGCAATACCCTAAAGACAAAAAAAAAGGAACATCTCACAATGATTTTCAAGTGTTTTCTCTTTACCCAAACGACAGAATGCATTTCTTGTGGGTGTAGCAATACCATTATCCCGTGATACCAAGCAAGACCTGTACCAAAACAAAATATGCCAACACCACTAATAAGCGATGATATATATGTCATATTTGAGTATCCATAACTAAATAATAATATTGTTTTTCTAAGCTAACGATGATTCTCGTATTTACGGATGTTCTGGGTTTGGTTTTTTAATTGATTGCCATAAACCAAATGTTAAGATAAGTTGATTACATGTATCCGCAATTGAATGCACGGCTTCGGAAAATAACGAAGCAGAACCAGTAAATAACCACCCAATCGTTTTAACCACAGCATTTGTTGCATTGCTGAAAATCGAAATAAACAATTTTTTTCTTCTTCATATGAAAATATGAATAGTTTACATAATAACAGCTGCAATAACTACTTTTCCGCTACCAGTTGTAAGAATATTCTTTTTAACCTGAAGCCATAACAAAAACAAATATTGTCTAGAAAATGTTAATTTTATTTACTGATTTTCGATTATCAAATGATGCATTTTCTAAGAACGATAAACGTTTTTGATAATCGCGAATAGATTTTTTCAAACTAAATGCAGCTAAAGAAAACGAAAAATATATTAATTTCAATATGTTCTATATTATACCTTCATTGTCATCTTGTCGAGCTTTAGCTCGTTTGGCTTTTTCTATATTTAAGATTTCTGGAGTACCCCATATTTGATAAGCCCTTTTTGATAGAAATAAAAAACAAAATTCCTTCTTTCTCTGCACTAGTTTCTTACCTTTTTTCGACATCACCTCGACGATAAACTGTAAGCATTTGTGAACTATCAGCAACATCTGTATAAGGTGAACGTGTTTTATATTGTTGTAGTGTTTCTAAATCTCTGCAAACAAAACGAAAGATACGTTGAATCTATTAAATATCTCTTCGAAACTCACGATGGTTTTAACAAATATTCGTGCATAGCTCGTACAGCTGTAATGAGCTTATTGTCAAGATAATTTACAGTAACATCATCTACTTCTCCTCCGTTGTGTGTACGAACTAAAATCAACCAATGAATTTATGTTCTGTTAATATTATATCGAGATCTAAACCTTTTAATATTGAAGGTACATTTTTATCTGATGAAACCAGTGCATTACTATTATTGCTTGTCGTAGATTCTGTTCGTTTGGATACTCTATTGACGTTTTGTCGGAATGATGCATCATATCGATAGGAACCGAATGGACTGGAAATTAAAAGATACAAAATAAATTCTACTGATGCCAACAAATCGTCTTACGTTGATGAAAGAATGCGTAGAATATTGTGCTGAGCAGTGTATGTAAATATTATATATTTTGCTTTGAATGATGGAAGACCTGCAAATAGTTATAGAGTGAATTCTCTACTCGAAATCAAGGGTATTCCCAGAGTTAATAGAAGGCTTTGTGGGAAATTCAGCGGTGCTCGTTAAAAAGAAGTAGACTTTCATTATGTTTCACCTTTAACAGCTGGATTGTTCTCTCAAATTCTGAATCTATTCAGATTTTTCTTACTGTTATTTCTTAGTATTGATCTTAAACCATATTGAACAAACATAATTTTCTTTTTATAGCATTCATGTATAATAAAAAATAACTATTTTCAATAAACTATCTAAAAACAAAAAAAAGATCTGATTGAGCTTGAATGGAAACTCATCAGAGAACATATATAATGTTGTTGAGAATTTCATTTTTTTTAACAATTTCAAACAGATACAGAAAGAGAAGAGATAAGTCGATAGTGAATGTTGCAAAAAAGAAAAATCCATTGAAACTAACAATGAAGAAATAAACTATCATTATACCATTGATCTACTTTCACATAATCGATCGACAACCTGAAAAATAGTTAACACTTTTTGCATAATAAAAACAGAGATGGATGCTTACTTGTCGAATACCAGGTAACAATAATATCGAACCGATGATTGGTAGACGTCGAAGAAAATTAATTGCAATAGGAATGAAACCCCTAAAAATTGAAGTTTAGTGAGTGAACAAGAATTAAGAAAACGAACTAACCCGAATAGAAGAAAAAATCCGTATATTTCAAATATCATTCCAACCAATGGATAACCAAATAGGACGATTGAAATGCCACCAAAGAAAAGTAGAGTAGCCTTGATTTTATTACGTTGAAAGAAAAATCTTAGTGTACGTTCAAATCCAATTATCATACTTAAGCCAGCCAGAAATAAAATCTAATGAAAAATATTCAATAAATAAATAAATCGAAAATCAATCGTATGAAAACTTACATTTCCAACTGCAAGCAAACCTTTATCAAATAGAAATATCATACCGAGAAAAATAAAACCAACACCAAATATTGACAGACCGAGACCGATCTCTATTGAGATAGAAACAGATTCCAAACAAAAATAACTGAAAGTTTTTTGCTTTTATTTTACTTTGAAAATCTGACAATTGTATTGGCATTTTTAATTGAAATCTATATACGTTATTGAATTAATTTGTGAGTGAATAAACTTTTGAAGTTGAAAATTTGAACAATTTTAAATACATTTCGAAATGAATCAAATTGACACGTAAGCAAGAGACTGATGAGCTGTTATTGTATCTGACAAATTCTGGAGTGGTTTTATCCATAGTTTATTATTCGCGAGCCAATAGGAATCACTATCGACAGATGTCATCATGGCATGTACAAGAGAACTTTGATTTACATACTAAAATCTAAAATGTTTATCTGTATGAGAATAACAATCCTAGTACAACATTAAAGTTAATCTTCTCTAATCATTACAAGATCTTATTTTGAGTTTAACCCATAAGTATCAACTCGATTCTAATATAAAAGCATTACTTGATTGCGATTCACATTTATTTCAATTCACTATTAGTGATCATTGATAAATACAACAGAAAAAACGGAGTAGTACAAAAAAAAAACTTTGATAAGTATAGCATTTGTTATTTATTCTACGTTTGCAAACAACTGAGAAAATTCTTCAAAGCTAATTTTACCATCATGATCAGTATCTATTTGACTGAGCGCATCAGCTATTCGTTCCTCGCTTACATTTTGATTCATTTGATGTAGTACTTCACGTAATTCATCACGTGTAATATAACCTAATAAATAAAAAAATAAAAACCTAAAATATTTCCACTCTTCTGTTATTTACCCGAATCATCTGCATCGAAACATTTAAATGCTCGATGCATTTCATCATTTGTAAATTTACGTTCGTAAATTCTTCCCATTACTTTAACAAACTCATTGAATTCAACTGCCGAGAAAATAAATAGTTAGACTTCTTTTTTCTTCTATAACAAGAAAACTTACTGGTGCCATTACCTATAACAAAAAAATATCATAATAAACAGTTTCTTTTCTTCGATAAAAACAAATTCCTACCATCTATATCCATTTCTTTCATTACTTTTCGAACTAAACTGTCGGTTGGTTTGAAATTTAATGCGCTGAGAATTTGATGAAGTTCGGATGAGGATATTGTTCCACTTTTATCTCGATCGAACAGATTGAATGCGTCACGTAGTTCTAATTTGATGAGAACAATGCAAAACTATTCAACGAGATTTTCGGTTTCTTTTACCTTGAACTCGCTGAGAGGATAATTTTGGTTGTTCTCGCTACAGAAACAGATATAGTCTCATTGTTTTGTCAATTAGAATTTTCAATCGTATACTTACCGACATTTCAACTCGACCTTGTACGTAAAAAAATTTTTTATTTCAGTTGTCTGCTGTCGTTTTCTTTCTCTCTCGTGTTAATGTGAGAATTTCTCTTTCTATATGTTATGCTTTGCTATTTTACGTTCCTTCGCTCTTCCATTTTATGTTTTCAAAAAAGATAGGAGAAGAGATGTAGAATGTATGAGAGCTCATTAAGTAGAAGAAAACATAATAAATAAAACAGAGAAGAAAAGAAAAAAGATAGGGAAAAAATGTGTGAAGCATAACACATTCTGACAAATATTGCGAAGGATTTTTTTTTATCTTTCTTTACAGAGAAGTTGCCATGAGAATTATTGAATGATATAATAGCATAAATTTAGCCTTTGTTTTCCTGATTATTGAACTAAGAATAGAAGGATCACGTGCAAGTAGCAAGATTTTCTCAAGCCAATAAAATATAGAGAATTTGTTGTTAGCAGGAAGAAGAGAACAGAGCAAAGATATAAAATATTAATCAATCTCATAAATTGTTCGGTGATTCATGCCGATATAATAGCTGTTAAAGTGCGTTGGAGAAAGCCCACATCAAATTTCACTAGTGAAATAGGCTTTCTTGTAAGCTTGATATATCGTCGAGGATTGCTTTTTAATTATTAAAATTTAAAGAGAAGAATTATCTTCATGACAACAATATTTTTCAGTTGTGAACTTTCTGTTAGTGTTGATTTTCATCCTTGAAGGTATGATTCCGCTTGTTTATACAATCATTTGCGATAATTATATATATTTAGAAAAATTGACACGTTTAGACATGTGCGAACCGGAAGAACGCAAGATAATACTATAGTTTTGTTTTCATAAAATGTACTCGTTATTTCGATTCTACGTCAAAATATACACTACAGTGAATGAACACAACAAGGTTTAAGTATTTATATTTCTCTTCCTTGAATAGAGATGTTTTTTGCCACAGATATTAATTGTAATAAAAATTCAGTCGTATTTCTGTTTTCATCAGTAAACACATGTCGGACCTAAAAAAAAGTGCGCCATAAATCAAAGCAACGTACAATGCAGCCATCCCATTTCTTTCTTCTTCAGAAGTACTTTCAGTTGAGACGTGCGTGAGCAGAAAACATGCGCCCTTTCAACTTTCTAAGTCAAGAAAAATTAGGAAAAAGTCATTGATAACTTATCATCGGTTATTATAATAATAAACCGACGTCATTGAAACGTTTATTTGGCATTTATTATAAATAATGAAAGTGAAGTTGATGCGACACATAACTTATAATTCTTTTAAAATGATCGTATGTTAAACGCTTACGATTAAATTCATGACTTGCCACAAATTTTCCAAAGAATAATCTCGATTTGAGAGTGGCTTCAGTAAAAAATCTTATATCGAAGTTGAGAAAACGAATACTTTCGTAATTTACAGTGTCGGATGCTTATATTGAGAAAGAAAAGGAAAATTGGAAGGATTCAATTAACTAACCACGAAAGTCGCTGTTTTGCCATTCTCAAAAACACTGGCTTTAATCAATCTTACAATTTTTGTTAATATTTATAATCATCGTGCTCCAGTATAAGTAGTTCTTCGAACGTACTATTCTATGTTCCGTCACACGATTAATTATAAAATTTTATTTGAATGTGTTGGCCTTTAAGAATGATATTCTAATAATTAAATGTAGTCTTAATACAAGAATTAGAATTATAAAGAGGAATGGAAATATCGATATTTGACATGTGAAAAAAGCTGCGGACACGATTATCTATAGTTTAATCGATCACTCAAGATAGAAGAAAAACTGTATTGCCATGAAACTTTATCTAGATCACATGATGTTGTTAGTCGTCGTATGAAATTTTGTTGTATAAACATATGGCACTGATGATATTGAAATTTTTAGTATTTGAAAAAGCTCTCTATGTAGAATCTCGGATATATAATGGAGATGAGTTTATTATTAGTTATTTTTATTTGACTAAATTTTTCAAAAAGTACGATATTTTTGCGAGATATGAAGCGAAAAATCAATCGTATTATTGTAAGTATATATGTACATAGTTGTTAGTCTTTGAGCTATATTTAGTTCTTTCATTTTGCTGAAGAATTTAGTTCAATATTAACATAAAATTTAACTAATTTGATTTTGAACCTACCCGGCGAGCCTCTTGAGCAAGAACGAAACATCGTCCGGAGCTTGAAATTATTGACTTTAAACACATCCACATCCTACTTGGGTGGCTATCATACTTTTATTTAGTTTTTACTATGTAAACATGATTTCACTAGGATTTTTAAAAATTATTTTTCCATAATGTAAGAGACGAGCAAATACATACAAGTTTAGCACGCTCTAAATTGCAAAGAAAAATATTATAGTTATTGTGTGATGATGAAAAGCATGTCAATTGCATTTATAGATAATTCACTGAGCCCACGTACGTAAACATCGTAGAATTACATGTGTTTGGAACTATACGATCCCCATTGACGAATGTTTTTGTTAATGTCTGTGTTACAGCGTTTGGTCTTCGTATTTGAAATGTAGCTGTTATTGGATTGGTAACGTTTGATGGGACAGAGAAAGAATATTGCTGAAAACAGATATGATAAACACCAGTAGGCGCTGTCACATTCCAAAAAATATTTTCTGGGCCTGTGTTTCTTGTATCGTCATGATCCAACTGACCTTGGTCTGTAGCTACACTTGGGCCTTTATTGCCATAGTAAATTGACTTTCTCGATGGTGTCGTTACGACAATATCACCATCGCCTGGACGTGACCATGTTACACTAATCCCGAATTCTCCACAACAACAACAACAACAACAACAAGCACCACGACGACGACGACGACGACGACGACAGGTAAGACAATTTTAACGACAAACTAATATAAAATTTTGAGCTTATTTCAAATCAAATTGTTAAAACGTTTAATATTGCGTCATATAGGTCACATAGTATGACAATTTTGTTACAAGTCTTAAAATCTTGTGATTACTTTTCTGTCGTAGAAACGTTTTCTGGGAGTATACGGCACTTTGAAACACTTATTTCCTTCAGTATCTTCAAAGGATGATTTCTTGTATTTGAAAATGCCTAGTTTTGACTATTTTTGCAACATCCATTTCATAAAATACGACTATTCTATAATTAGCTTTACTCATAGATATAAAGTTACCGTAAAGTGTAAGCTGGACTGAACTGTTTCACGTCTAATTCCTTATTTTCCGCTAACTCTGCTGAAAGATTTGTAAATAAAAGAATAAATACATCAAGATGAAATGTAGCTTTGAATGAGAGCAGCACTTTAACAGTTAATTCAAATGAATGACTTAGCGATAGAATTTATCATAGCGCTGATAGACCGTTTTGGCAAAATCGGCAGCGATACACGTACTCGAGTACACAGATGCCACAATACCCAACGAATAAATATCGAGATATCAACGTTCAATTACACTTTTCGATTTCATTATTAGTTTTACTAGTATTTTTATATCATTCTTCCACAAAGCACTCCCGCTCTTGTACCCCTTCTAAATACTATTGACTATCGATTTCAAATCGTTCTGATGCAACAGGTGGAAATAGTACGAAGTCTGATGGAATCGGACTTAACTTCTATAAAAACTAATAAAACATTTAGAAACTTCCAAATTTTGCTACTGCAAATTGGTGGTACCATAACCCATTATACATTTAACTATCCGGCACACAAAGCCTAAGAGCTTCGTTTTAATTTATTTTTGAAAACCATTCTTATTGCTAGCTCCTTTTTCCTTCCATAAAGCACGGCAACGACATTTAATACTATCACCTACTTGTTTTGCCATAATCAAACTCTCGCAAGTAGGGATACGAGTGACTTCGTGAATGAAGAGAGGATTCATACCCACATTGATAAACAGAAAGATTTCTAATGTGTGGAACAACACTGTAGTGAATACAAATCTTGTGATAAATCCTACAACATGACCATTTTTCAGCTACGACAAGCACCACACCATACTTGACATCATCACCGGCTACTTGTAGCAGTACTGTAGCGACATGTAAGTCAAGTCGACTTTTTTTCCATTTCGCAGAATATTTGAATGGATGTTTTGTTTACTTAGCCTGTAACACAACGACATCGATTGTAGCCAGTTGTCAGAGTTACGAAGTATCATGGAATAATCATTGCTATTATCTAGATGGCTCGGGTGGCAATTGCACGATTGGTTATAGTCGAGCAACGAATGCTATTTTGGGATGTATAGCTACACAATTTGTTACAAAAACATATCGAAGTAAGATATCAGATAGTTGTTGTGTTTGGGCGGCAGATACCTATGAATGTTACGGATTGACGGACGACAATTGTAATAATGCTGGGCCTTTCACTGCTGGACCAGTATTTGGCGGTGGTAGGGGTTGCATTAACACACAACAGCGTCTCCCTGCCCAATTAACATTTTGTGGTAGTAATTAGTTAGATGAAAATGTAATAGAATATAACTTTATTCGCAGTACGCTTTCAAAAAGCTTTTTATTAGCAGTGACCTTTCAACATTCAGTTTTAATCATACATTCTATAATTTTGACTTTGTCATAGAAACAATCAGCTATCATCTTGTTGTTTATCTTTTATTTTTCTACGCTTTTAATCTTGTAAACGAAAAAAATATTAACAAATAACTTGCTATTGTTTTGAACATTTCTCTACGTTTACATGCGAATTTCATTGGATGTGATTTCTATGGAAGAAAAGACGCTTACACGCACAAGATGCGGGTGTGGATTTGGCTGAACTTTAGAGTAGCCAAGCTACATATGATGGTCAGCTAAACCTAGCTTCCGGTTCATCATCAGATAAATTCGGAATCTCAATAAGTTGCATATCAATCAAACTTGCAAATTAATTTTGAAACTGGCCACTAATATCGGGAAACACATTAAAATAAAAGATCAAAGTCTTAATGTCACTTAATAAGAACTTTGCTGCACTAATATCGAAATACCTGATATTCTGTTAGCTATACACATCCTTACGCAAAGTTTCAATGATTATCGTACGTAGCTTGGTTTCTACGTAAAAAAAGAACAGTTCTATTATAAACCCACCCACAGTCCATAACCCAACCATCTGAAAAACCCTTAAGAAGGGACGAAACTGATCATGGCAGCTTCTTTGTATCCACATCCGTTGAAAATTGTGTGTGTTAGTCTAATATTCGTTGATACAGAAACAAGATCTGTTTTGTTTTATAAGCAATATGTAACTTGAATCTGAATTAATATTGACACAATTGCATCTTCGGATTTACGATTGCCTATGAAAATTAATCAGACATATACTTGCACTTCTTATAGGAGTCTACAAGGATTCACAAGGTTTGAGTGAATAATCACAGATTACTGAATAAAACCTGAGAGAATCATATATTGAAAGAAGTCTTGAAACGTCTGTTGAACGGGCATAATAACTGCCAAGTGATGCAGGTAAGAACAAAGAGAAAATGATTATAGCACCAGATAAAGCCCGCGGAGATATAATGATGCCAGCTACAATCAATGCATACCGATTTTCTCTTGCCCCTTCAACTGTAAATTTTCAATTCAAAGTATGAAAAATGTATCGATTTATGCCGAGCCATTGAGGAGTAAACGTAACAACTAAAACACAATTGTTTTTCCGATCTGTGTCTATCCACCACAGCTCGATTCAAGAAAAGAAGGCACATTGTTAGGCCATTTCGTGTAGTCGATTGAAGAAGATGTCGTCGATATCACCCTATACAACACACCTTCGATACATAATATTTCGCAGCTGACTGTGCTTATTACGAATTAAGTATTTTTTTCATGAAAAACAAATTGCATTTTGAATTTTCAAACGAAGAGCTGCAGTGGTGTCATACTTGAAACTTGAATTCAATTATTGAATTATATGCTTTCAAGTTTCAAGTATGAAAAACATGGTTACATCCACGCTCACATTCGTTCATGAAAAACAGCAAAATCCAACAACGTTCTATATCCTAGTGTAGATTACTATTAAAAGCAACAAGGCAATCATTCGAAGGGATGACTAAGAAAAACTTATCCGCTTTGCTTTTCCTCTGTTATTTTATACCTCAATTGAAATTAGGCAATAAATATGGTACGAGATCAAAATGTTTATATGAACGAAGACCGTGAAAATGCAGAAGCAAGAAGAAAGAAAATGTGAGTACATCTATTTGCATTCATATTATAGTCGGATATTTTGGATGTAGATCTTTGGGAACTTTTTGCTGCCACTGTTCATATCTCTGTGCACTTTTGTGGTCGGTCGCTTGTGTTTTTCTCTGCGCAGCCGTCATTATAATTCCTATAGTCGTATTAACCGCGGTAACAGCACCAGCACAAACAACATCAATACAAGCACGTAAGACATCGTTAATCTTTGTCGTTCTCGCATTAAAATGAATGATCACACACTCAAGAGAACATAAGAAATGGAGCTATTCTTCGGAAAGGCATCCTATTTTGACTTCTTACTAACAATAATTTAATGCAAAATGACTTTATGCGACTGGGTTAAAATTTGCAATCGGAATAATTTTTGTAATCGAAAAACAACCATATTTAATAGCATAAAATGTTTATTGCTGTAGGTGGTAAAACTTTTTAAATAAAAAGTACCAAACATAATCTGACTAAGTTAATAACTAAGCTAGAAAAATGTTTCGATAATAACAACCAATGAAAAATCCTGAGCAAGGCTAATACAATCTCTTGGACACTCTTTTAAGGATTTCTCATAGTTATCAACGATGCCTAAAAAAGTGTCTAGAATTGTTTGCAGCTCTCGAAAATTTCTGTGTGTTCAGTGACGTGTACGAATCTCTCTTTAAGTTCTGTATCGCACTACTTTTTTACCAATGTAGAACAGCCGAATGTCTGCTGTACTCAGTGCATTCTGAAAATGCTGCTGAAACCAATATTTAAAATCCTCATATTTTTAGAGTGATTCTAGAATTGCATCGGATAAACGAATTAAATTCAGATATGTTTCTTCGAATTCTTTCGTAACTCTATATGCAATATAAGAATCCATACTTTTCAATATGAATATACCCGGAAAACCAGAATTTAGAAGAGATCATTACTGAAGTTTGGGTCAAATCTATATATTACTATAAAAACATTTTAATTGCGTATTGGAAAACGAATATCCAAGGTTGTTGAAGTGCGTTCGCTATAGTACTCTCTTCTAATCTTCTGGGGTAATTGTGTCTGACTAGAAGTGAATTCGATAATAATAATTATGTATAACTGGCATTGAATGTCATTCTTTTAGGCATCACGACAGTGGGAATAGCAAAATCAAAGACAACAATGACCACAAACGTGACGGCGACAAGAACGACTCTACTTAACATCCCGAAAACAACAACGGCTACAATGAGCCGCACGACAACAACTACCATGAGTACCACAACAACATCAATACAAGCACGTAAGACATCGTTAATC